GTGCCAATCAGCTTTCGTATGATATTATGTCTAGCACACACTTTTTGCTTGATAATCAAGCAGTGCTTCTGGTAAGTCAGAGATGACCCAGGGTAACTCTCAGGTATTTTGGTGTGCTGCAATGCTCCAGTAAGATTCCTTCTCAGGTGATCCTCAGAGCTCGAAATGCTTGTGTCTTTTTAAGATGAAGAGCACACGTCTACCTTTTAGATAGATGGATGGATGGGATCCTTGAAGTGACTGGATTGACCTTGAAGGAGCTGGGGGTGGTGACAGCCGACAGGGAGCTCTGCCGTGGGCTGGTGCATGAGGTCACGAAGAGTCGGAAACGACTGAACGAATGAGCAACAACAACAAACTTTTTAGATGGATTAGGAATCAGCTGGTTTTTTGTGTAATAGGCAGTAAGAACACCTAAAGCTTCATGTCGCTTCTGGTGTGAGAGAATCAGCCATCTACAAAGACGTTGCCCAGGGGACGCCTGGATGTGTAATGATCCTGGAGGGAGGCTTCTTTCATGTCCCTCTCATTTATTAAATAAGTTAAAAAATGAAATTACACAATGCTACTGTTAGATGGATTGGGAATTGCTTAACTGGCTGAACCCAGAGGATACTTACCAAAGACTCCTTTTCATCCTGGAGAGAAGTGACCAGTGGGATGCATAGGATTTAGTCCTGGGCCCAGTGCTGTTCAACATTTTGATCAATGACTTGGAATCAGATTTGCAGATGACACCAAACTGGGAGGGATAGCCAATACAGGACAGGACCAGAATATAAAATAGCCATGACAGATTGGAGAGCTGGGCAAAAATGAACAAACCGTATTTCAGCAGGTAGAAATGTCAGATACTACAATTAGGCAAAAAAGAAGAAGAAATACATGGATAAAAAAAATGAGTGACAGCTAGCTTGACAATGATGTGTTTGAAAGGATTCTAGGAGTTTTAGTAGACCATGATTAAACATGAATGAACACGATACAGCAGCTAAAAGAAGCTAATGTAATTCTAGGCTGCATCAATAGGACTGCAAGACTACAGAAGGTAACAAGACCACTTTGCTTTGGTCAGATCTCACCTGGAGTACTGTGTTCGTTCTGGGTACCACAATTCAAGAAGTATATCAAGATACTGTTGTCAAATGCTTTCATGGCCAAATCACTGGATTGCTGTGAGTTTTTCAGGCTTTATGGCCATGTTCCTGTAGCATTCTCTCCTGACATTTCACCTGCATCTGTGGCAAGCATCCAAGTTCTCAAAAGTTGATTAAAGTTCTGGATGAGCTGCAGAATCTATGGGAGCAAGTTGGGGAAAGTGCCCCGGAGTCCATTTGGGTCTTTATGAAGATGACTGCCAGCGCTGGAGGACAGGGACCACATCGAGAGCGAAGAAATTACAGATCCCACCAGATCCGTGACTCTGATGGCCCACTGGTTTTCTGGGGGTCCCAAGGGGTGACCGCAAAAGGTTCCCCAGATCAACAGGCTCCAAGGGCATCAGCGAGAAGGTGGTAACGATGTGGTGGCATCGGGGAGCCAGCTGGGCTCCATGTTGGGTTTTTGGAGGCAAAAAAGGTTATTCCCAGGGCAGAGGGGTTAGCGGAGCAAAAGCGAGATAGCTATTAGTCTTAGAATTTGCCCAGGAGAAGAATAGCACTGATTTTGAAGCAATCTGTTGACTCGCGGGTACTGGGACCCCATGGGTTTCCATATCTGCGGTTCAGAGGAACGCAGTTTCGGCCTCAACAGGACGCGAAAATTGCATCCCAGACCGGCCGGCAGCCATCAGCAGCCCAGGAGAGGAAAAGTTAATGCAGAGAGTAGTTTGGAGGCAGTAAGGGACACAAAGTAACACTAAGTTATAATCAATTGATACTTTATTGGGGGGGGGGTTGTTACAAGGTTAGGAAGGGGAAGAAAGTGAAGCAGAGAGAAGGTTTCTTTGTTGAAGCTGCTGCCGTGGCCACGGTTTACAGAAGCTGGCCCAAGCGGGCAATAGAGAACTGCGGAACTTCCTGCTGCAGGTCAGATCAGCTTGAAGGCAGTGAGTTTTGGGTTGGTTGCCCTCAGGAGGATAATAGAGGCAAGTAAAAAGAGTGAGAAAGCTTATGAACAATAACATTTACAATATATATTGGAGTTGACCTAAGAAACATGGAGAACCTTTTTCACGTTACATGGTTATAGCACAATTATTCCACTTTTAATTGCCATCAACAATCACCCTCAGTTTTTCCTCTGTAAAAAGGAAATATTAACTGAGGAGTTGCAAAGATGATAAAATAAAATAATTCTGGAGAAAAAAAATTCTAAAGAGATTATAGAAATTATTAGGATTACATGTAACATATTTACAAAACAGCTTTACTATTCTTTTCATATCAAATTGTTTATAATAACAATAATAATAGCCCACTTTATCTCTCCCGAAGGACACTCAAAGTGGCTTAACATAAAAACATTAGCATACAATTTAAAATATACAAATATGCAAACATTAAAATATACAAATATGCAAATTGTCAACAAACTGTCCTCCACAAAACAAAACAAAAAACCAACAGATTTTCTTGTAGTGCAGCAGAGGTAATTTTTCTTGATTTTTGCTTGGATCTCGTCTACATTTTTTGTGATAAGAAAAAAAAAAGATGAAAGAAGCAGTGGGAAATATAGTGGGGTTCAATCAATGGATGATTGTAAGTCAAGACTTAAGAAGATTCCATGGTTTCAGTAGGTCTACTTTAGAGGAGGCGAGAAATTGCATTTGGGCCCAGGTCAATTTTGAGTTGGGGGGATTTTGTGGGATTTTAGCAAGCAGAATCTTTACTCCATATACAAATAAAGAGCCCAATAAAGTAACATTTCCAAACTATGATTATATTTGTTTGAAATATGACAGATTCCTGCCAAGAGACTAAACTTTAACGCAGAAATGAAGCCAAGGGAGACTACAGTTCCTAGCATTTTTCTAAACCTCTAGCAAAGCTTGGAAAAGTGCTTTTAAGCATTGCTTTTAGAATTTGTGTTATGTCACTTATAGCACATACACTCAGTCTGGATCTACATTGCCATATAATCCATATTATCAAAGTAAATAATCTATATTATTTGCTTGGCACTGGATTATATGAGTCTACACTGCCATATAGTCCAGATCAAAGCAGATAATCTGGAATTTATATGGCACTGTAGAAGAGACCTCAAGGGTAACTTTCCACCAGTTAATCTTAAAAGATGATGGAACACTTCTATTTTTCCCCCTCTTTCCTCCCTCCTTTGTTTACTTCCTTTGATGTTATGAAAGTGGTTGTAGTAAACTCATTTAAGTCACTAGTTGCATTACTTGTTATTTTTCAGTGCTGTTTTGGTTTGTGTGTCTGCTTTAAAAAAAATCTAAAAGTTTAGAAAATGGCTTAGAATTCAAAACAAAACAAACATTCCCCCCTAAAGCATTTTAGATTTCTAAACTTAAAACCAAACAGCAATAACTTTGCCAGTCACTCCGTTATTGTGAAGAAGGACCATGGTTTATTCTTTTCTACAACACAAATTGTAACAGTGTAAAGTTATTTTCAGGCATTAGTTTCCAGAGAAGTACATTAGGAAGAACTTCCTGGCTATAAGAGCTGTTCAGCAGTGGAACATTCTGCCTCGGAATGTGTTTGAAGCTCCTTCCTTGGAGGCTTTTGGATGGTCATCTGTTAGGAGTGCTTTGATTGTGCTTTTCCTGCATTGCAGGGGTTGGACTAGATGACCCAGCACTAATTCGATTTTCATTAGTTATTGTATTTTTAAAAACATATTTTATTTTTAATCTTTGTCATAGATAAATAAATAAATATATTAATGTCCTGAAGTGAGAGATGCATTTCATTTTAAGGAAAAGGCATCTAGTTTAGCAAGGCATAAACTGGACGTCATCTTGGGAATATACTGTATATACTCAAGTATAATCCTAGTTTTTCAGCCCCTTTTTTAGGCTGAAAAAYCCCCCCTTGGCTTATAATCGAGTCAATGTTATTTATTATTTTATTCTGTAATTAGTATTATTTTTATTAGATTTATTATTATTATTACACTTATATTATTTTACTCTATTATTTTTATTACATTTATTATTTTACTCTYTTATTATTATGCTCTYTTGTTATTGTTATTAGTTATTATTTTACTCTATTATTACATTTATTATTTTACTCTTCTTAGTATTAATTATATTCATTATTTTACTCTATTGTTATTTTTATTATTACYTTTATTATTTTACTCTATTATTATTATTGGAAGGATACGTAAGCCCATTTKCATTGAAGAAAATTAGAATGATGATTTAATCAGAAATTGGAAAGTCTTATTTTAAATTACAGCTTTATGTAAATATTAAAAACATTTCACCTACTGATGCCTCAATTAATGTAATTTTATTGGTATCTATTTTTATTTTGAAATTTACCATTTGTGGCTGCATTTCCCACCCTCYGTTTATACTCGAGTCAACACGTTTTCCTAGTTTTTTGAGGTCAAATTAGGTGTCTTGGCTTATATTTGGGTCGGCTTATACTCAAATAAATGTGGTAATTGAAGGCCTTGGCAGGTGTCAAAAATACAAAATAAAGAGTTAACTAACAAGAAAGAAAATAGCATCTTAGTCGTCTAGTGTTTAATTCTTTTGTCGTTTAGCATTTAAGCTCTATGTTTTGGTTTTAAATCCTTCCAGGACAGTTTTCCTTATCTTTTTTGTCCTCGTGATGTCTCAGGCCACAACTCTTGTTGTCCAAACTCATTATTCACAATATATCTGGAGGCCACAAGTTTGGAGAAAATTATTTCATGCCCAAAAAAAAAAAAAACCCTTCATAAATAGGGCAGTTGTTCGGTCGAAATATTACAGTTCTTTTATGTTTATTCTATTGGTTATTTGCAAGCAAGTGTTCATATGATTGCAGTCTTAGTGATTTATTTATTCTATGTTTTCTAATTTCTTTTTTCTACCATAGCTACAGAGTTGTGACAAGATCTGAAGATGCTTACACCTCCACAGACACCATTTGGTATAATGCTGCTGGTTATTTCAAGTGTCGTGAAAGCTCAGGTCAATCCAGGTAAGGTATGAAAGTGAAATCCAGGGACTAACTATATTATATAGAGCTTTTTACTTTATTATAAGTTTAAAAATTCCTAAACTCTAAAGCAAAAATGCCCCCCCATGACCCCCCCACCCACGCCACCAGTACGGAACAGGAATACAAATGAAGATGAAGAACATTGGAAACACAATAGACTTCCTCCTCATAAAGAAAAGGCAACTATCACACTCTTAGACATACTTCTTGTACTATTTGATTACTTTCCAACTACTGCTAAACATAAACCACCATAAAGTATTATTATTAACATTAATACCCAACCACAAGTAACTCATATCAACAATTTCAAATCTTATAAATATTAGTAAATTCATCTTTAAAGTATAACCTTAACCCCCAAATTTATTCCCATTTAAATGAAATTAATCGTATCTTATATGTATTTTTTTCAAATTATAATCCAGCCATCCAATAGTTTGCGGGACTGTGACCTGGCCCTTTGCTTTAGATGGTCCAAAAACATTTACATTGAGCACACCTTGGGCCCATATAGAAGTCAGTTACATTCATGTAGAAAAAGGAGCCTTAATAAACAGGGATTTTTTTTATATATATAAGAAAATATTTTATCTATGGTATGCAACTGTTTTGCTATGCTAGTAATCATGTATCTAAAAAGTGATCTAAAACCTATCTCTCTATCTCAGGAGTCCTCAAACTTTTTAAGCAGAGGGCCAGGTCACAGTCCCTCAAACTGTTGGAGGGCCGGATTATAATTTGAAAAAAAATGAATGAATTCCTATGCACACTGCACATTTCTTATTCATAGTGCAAAAACACTTTAAAACAATACAATAATTAAAATGAAGAATAATTTTAACAAATATAAGCTTATTAGTATTTCAGTGGGAAGTGTGGGCCTGCTTTTGGCTGATGAGATAGGGTTCTTGTTGTTGTTGTGTGCTTTCAAGTCATTTCAGACTTAGGTTGATACTGAGTGAAGGCCGGGTAAATGACCTTGGAGGGCCGTATCCGGCCCCAGGCCGTAGTTTGAGGACCCCTGCTCTATCTGGTCTCCTTCAATATGTTCTTCTTTTAAAGTGCCTTTAAGAATGTACTTGAATAAGATTTACTCTATAAATATAATATTACTATATTATAACTTCTTGCATTTGTGTAAGACAAGAACAAATCTCAAAACTTTGAAACGATTTTATTGATCAGCCAATTGGCCTTATCAAAATAGACAATGTAAACACAACATACAGTATACATCAACTCCAAGAAAAATGGTAAATATACAAGTACAGATAGAAAAAGTGGGGGTGGCTAATTTATAACCAAATGTACTTTAATCTTAGGTTTGATAATCTGGATTATTTGGATTATAATCTGGATTATGTAGCAGTGTAGATCCAGCCCCAGTGATTCTGCTTCCAGCCGTGGATAACTTGATGTTTCCAAAAAGTACACATGAAAACAAAAGGCAACTGTTAATCTGTCACAACATCAAATAATGAAATACAGGCCTACCCAGTCAGTTTTAACTATGACTTTTAAGTCACAGTCAGTGTTTATTGCGTTTTACACTTTTATCTCAGGTGTTTTAACAGGCAGATGTTTTAATAATGCTTCCATGGTTGCATTTTAACTATGTTTTAATACATGATTTTATAGGTGTATTTGACTGTGTTGTGCTCTGCCTTGAGCCAAGAGGAGAGATTATTAATAAATCATCATTATCATCATATTTCCCCTGAATGTGAATCTTTAGATGTCATAGGCAATAGTTTCTGAGAAATCTGTCTTCCGCTAATATATGTGGTCTGGTTCCTTATAAAATGGTTTTTAAGACCCTGGCAAACTGCATCTTATGGCAACAAATTGCATGTAAATTATTTAGTGAGTATTTTTTTCTTTTTCAATGCCCTGAGGGCCAGTTAGTTTCCTTGAACAGCCCCCAGCTTCTATTCCTGCTTACTTATGGTATGGACTCTGTGTAAAGGATGCAAATAAAACACCATATTCCTCATTGCATGTTCCTCAGTTCGTTCAGTACCTTACGCACAGGTTATGGACAGAGTTTTGGATTGAATCCAGTGACCAGACAGTAAACACAGTGGAACAAGTGCCTCTTTGAGAAGTTCTCCTGGCAGCTAAGCATGAAAAAATAATGCTCAGGTAACTGCAGAGCCTGCTGCAGCTTCCTGGCTGGTCTCTTGCAAATCAAAAGCAGTCACAGTAGAGACAGTGTTAGTTTTCTGCTTCCAAACTGGGAAGAAGGTGCTGGGAAAGGGACAAAACAGTATTTAGTTGTCTCTCCAGTACCTTGACTGCTTGATAATTGTGATTTGGTTGTTTTTTTTAAACTACTTTGTTTTAGAATATTGACGAAGAGTTAATAGTATCTAGAACTTTTCCCATGGCATCGTAAAGTACAATTCACTTCTATGGTGCATCACATACTCCTCACATTAGCTTCATAACAATTCTGTACTTGTATCCTCCATTTATTTATTTCCCCCCTTCTAGTTTTATTATAGATTGTTATGTCTTGGAGTCTGTAGATTTTGGTGTGTGTTAAACTGTAAATGGAGGGCAGAACTCTACTGATCAATCTTTGGAAATATGGATTTCCCTTGATGTCTAGTTTTTTAAAAATTCTGGTACTAGAAGGGACTTGGGGGGACATCCAGTTCAAACCCCAATCTTGCAACAAGTAAGTTAATTAAATATTTGTAGATGGTCTTCTTGGTTTGCAAAATGCTGTAGAAAATTGAAGAGAATTTTAAAGGAAGATTCCTTAAAAAATAGATTGTTACTTACTTAGGTGATCCCTCATTGTCTGAGTATGATGGCCTCCCAAGTGTAGTGTCTTGGCGGTGGATACGTAGGTGACTGTGGAGTCCTATTCTTGATCTGCATATTCTTCCACAGGGAGGGCATTGGTTTCCAGGTGGAAGACAATCCTGGTCAGAGTTGGCTTGACACTCCTTCCTCTTGGCACGTTTCTCCCTATCATCCCCATTCGTGCCTCTTCAAATTCCACAGCACTCCTGGTCACAGCTGACCACTAGTTAAGAGTACTCAATAATAATAAATATAATAATAAAACTTTATTTATATTCTGCCCTATCTCCCCAAGGGGATTCAGGGCGGATTCCAACATACAATTGCAAACATTCAATGCCTCCATAGAACAAACAAGTACCAACATAATAATCCCAGAAAAAACCCACATATGAAAACAACATTAGAACCTAACATCAATAAATTAAACCAAACGTAATCAAACAAAAATTATATAAAGACATAAAATCTGAACATAAAACATCCACATTGATTTACAGAAGCCAACTATGATTCACAAAATTGTGTGGGCTGGTTGTGTGGCCAGTGATGGTAACTGGGCTAACATGGACTAGCAGATTTCGGATATGAAATAGTTCTCAAACAGAGGTTTGGTAGTGATCTCTCATTACTCCTCCTCCTCTCTGTATGTTAGTGAGCAAAAGTAAGTCTTCAGTTGATTTTTTTGAAGGAGGGGAGGGAGGGGGCCAGCTTTATTTCTTTAGGGAGGGAGTTCCAGAGGTGGGGGGCGACCATGGAGAAGGCCCTCCCTCTCGTTCCCACCCGCTGTACTTGGGATAGGGGTGGGACCGAGAGCAGGGCCTCCTCCGATGACAGCAGTGCCCGAGCTGGTTTGTAAGAAGAGATGCAATCAGTCAAGGGCCAGGACTTCCCAGTTCTCTGTGTCTATGCCACAGTTTTTAAGGTTAGCTTAAAAACTCAGAATGATTCCTGTTCCTTCTACTTATACGTGTAATTTTCCTCCAAGTGTCTACCTTCTGTGATGAGGAAGTGACCTCCTCCTCAGAGACATCCCCTGTGTGTTTCTCCTCCAGGACAGTCTGTTTTACTGTGTCCAATAAAATCTCTTTCTCCTTAATTTGTCAAAGTGTGAATATATGGGCCTCGGGATACTGGACCTTCTCTTCTAACTTGCACTTAATGAGATATAGCTACCCACATCCTCTGGCAAAAACATAAACATATGACAGTTTTTGCAGAGGATTACATGAGCTCTCTTACCATCAATTCTAGCTGTCTTAAGTAGACAATGGAATATAACTCCAGACGTACTTCCCAAACTTCTCCACTAAAAACACACCCAAAACGTCTGTTCACCTCGTTCCTGTACACTCAATTTCTGTGATTGACAATATGTCCAGTGTAAAAACCTACATGCTTTTTCCCTTGATTTGAAAGCTGTAGTCTTATTTTTTTTATAACCTAAATAAAAATGATTCCCAAAACAAATTATGATTAAGAGTGGCATTTGACAACCTTCTTACATTTCTCCTCTTTTTTTTTCTCTTTGTAGCGATCTGCCGCTACCCATTGGGCATGTCAGGTGGGCATATCCCTGATGAGGACATTTCTGCTTCCAGTCAGTGGTCTGAATCCACAGCAGCAAAATATGGAAGGTAAGAGAGAGTTGTAGTTGGGGTGCCTCATCAGTCTAAAGAAACTGAGAGATACTAATGCCCTCCTCCCTTTTCAAGTCCTCTGAGTACAATAGCATATTAATAATTTTGCTCATATTTACCCTCAGTAGATTAGAAACCTCCAATATTACTCTTTTGGAAAGGATTTATAATATTTTGACCAAGAAAGCAATTGTTCACTGTCTGCACTCAGCTGGAATCAGACGTTGAGATGCTTGCGCTGTTGCTAATGCTTCAGTGCATTCAGTGACTTTGTCAACTTTCAGAGACTCGGCTGCTTTTTCTTGATGCATCCTATCTATAATCTGACAGCAGTCTTGATGGAAAGATAATGAGCCATTGAATCCCCTCTGCTGCTGCAAGAGATTCTGGAAGCAGTAATCAGTTCACTTATCCATTCCTTTCCTTCCCTTTCTAGATGCGCCTTAGCTTTACACAAACCGAATATGAAGGAAAGTGGAGTTTGCCCTCCAAGAATGCAAGGAAAGCTATTAAGCACCAAATTAACCCTGTTTCATGCCAGGTTTCAGGTACTCAATATTAGCAGCAGTAATAAATCAGATTAAGAACATGTCTTCTCAATTAATCACAATGCCCTTCTTTTGTAATTAAAAGTAGCTTCCAATATTGTTCATTGGAAACTACTAGCCTTGGGCTTTTAGCTTAGCATTGTGCAATGCCCAATGTGGATGTGAGCCAATTAGAGCTACAAACCGGCCTGTGCATCACTAGTCTGTGCAGTGCACTATTAGCAGCACGCCTAACCTTTTCACTGTCTGTCCCATATAATGATTCCATCTCCTTCAAGGAGCTATGTTCTACAGCAGGGGCCCTCGCTCAGGGTCAACCTAAGTCTGAAATGACTTGAAAGCACACAGCAACAATTTATTTATTTATTTACAGCTTTTATATTCCGCCCTTCTCACCCCGCAGGGGACTCAGGGCGGATTACAGTGTACACATATATGGCAAACATTCAATGCCAATTTTTGACATACAAACATATACAGACATAGACAGAGGCTATTTAACTTTTTCTGGCCGCCAGGGGAGCTGTTGCTTTCATTGTCCATCTGTGACGCTGATGAAGCACTTCCGCATTCCCCGCATGCTTTGCCGCTGGAATGCTTTGCTGGAGTCTTCTTTATGGCCTCATAAATCAGTTAATTTAGCCTCGTCACACTTTAAGGTGGTACTTGACAGATGCAACTGTCTTTCGGGTTGCAAAGGTCGACAACAGGCTACACACAATTGGTTGGAAACCCACTCCAACCCGGGCTGGCTTCGAACTCATGACCTTTTTGGTCAGAGTGATCTTAATGTAGCTGACACTCAGCCAGCTGCGCCACAATCCTGGTGCAACAACAACAACAACAACAACAATCCTATCTCATCAGCCAAAAGCAGGCCCACACTTCCCATGGAAATACTAATAAGTTTATATTTGTTAAAATTGTTCTTCATTTTAATTATTGTATTGTTTTTAAGTGTTTTTTGCACTAAAAAATAAGATATGTGCAGTGTGCATAGGAATTCATGGTGTTTTTTTTTCCAAATTATAATCCGGCCCTCCAACAATTTGAGGGCCTGTGACCTGGCCCTCTGTTTAAAAAGTTTGAAGACCCCTGTTCTACAGGAAAGTTTCCTCCAGAGAGCTACCATGTTTGTTCTTACTGACTTTCATTTCCCCCCATGTCTCATGGGGGACATGAGAGAAGCCTCCATGCAGGATTGCAACACATCCAGGTATCCCCTGGGCAACATCCTTGTAGATGGCAGATTCTCTCAAAACAGAAGCGAACAGAAGTGACTTTCCCCCAGACCTTTAAGTCTGGAAATGATTTCCAGGCCAAAGGATATACTTCTAGGCAGCCTAACGATTTGATCAATATTTGTGAGTGTCATCGAAGGCTTTCACAGCCGGAATCACTGGGGTATTGTGTGGCTTCCGGGTTCTAGCAGCATTTTCTCCTGTTCCTCTGAAGATGCCATCCACAGATACAGATGAAACATCTTGAGAAAATGCTGCCAGAACACGGCCATACAATCCAGAAACCACACAACACCCCATTTGTAAGTGTCTATTGTTTAATGTATTGTCAAAGGCTTTCACGGTCAGAATCACTGAGTTACTGTGAGTTTTTTCAGGCTGTATGACCATGTTCCAGCAGCATTCTTTCCTAATATTTCATCAGAAGCTCTGAAGATGCCAGCCACCGATGCAGGCAAAACGTTAGGAGAGAATGCTGCTGGAACATGGCCATACAGCCCAAAAAACTCACAGCTATACATAGATAAAAATGCAATTCGTGCTTTAAAAAAAAAAGCCCAGCTGGATTAATCTTAGGGCCCATCAAGTTTAGCAGTGGCAAGTCAGATGTTTCTCAGGAAGCATCTACATTGAAGAATTAATGCAGTATGACACCTCTTTAACTGCCATGCTTCAGTGCCATGAATCCTTAGAACAGTGGTTTTCATCCTGTGGGTCACCAGATATTTTGCTCTTCAACCCCCAGAAATCCTAACAGCTGGTAGACTGGCTGGGATTTCTGGGAGTTGCAGGCCAAAACACCTGGGGGCCCACAGGTTGAGAACCACTGCCTTAGAAGCTTGCAAGCAGGCCAGAAAGGTGATGACCCTCTCCTGCTTCTTGCTTCTAGTATCTGGTGTTTCAGAAAAAAAGTTCCATTTGGTATTTATGGTCAGTAGCCATTGATAGAAGTCTGTGTATAATCCACATTTAAACAATTTCAGCCAGTGATTATACAATTTTATGGTAGGAATTTCCTTTCATTGTTGTTTTGCTCTTCTGAATGTATTGCCATCAATTCATTGGGTGACCTTCAGTACTAGTTTTAAATGTGTCATGATGTTATTGTTTTGATGTTTTACTGTTATTGCTTTAATGCTTATTGGTTTGCTTTCTGAGTTTTACTGTTGTATTTGTTATGCTGTTGTTTTATTGAGGGCCTTGGCCTTTGTAAGCCGTGCCGAGTCCTTCGGGAGATGTTAGCGGGGTACAAATAAAGTTAATAATAAAATAATAATAATACTGTGATGTGCGAAGGGAAGGAAATGTGTCTCTGGCTTCCATCTGCACCACAATGTAGGACAGTTCAATCTGTCAACCAGTTGTAACCAGCTTTTTCTATCATGCTTGGAGCTGTCCTGAACATGTTTCTCTCCCCATTGCTGAGGTTATTGTGAAGGAGCAAGGATTGGATTGCTTTTTCAACCTGTGCTGAACCGGTTAAGAAGACTGTGGTCATGAATACTGTCAGCACATAGGTTGTTGTGGTGGTTGAAGTGAGGAGGAAAAATTGGAAATATGAAAGGTTTATGGAGAAGATGATATAGCATGTGGCAAGTGCTCAAATCATCTTCCCCAAAGAATAAAGGAATGAGTTATGGCAACCTAGTTTTGCCTCCAGACCCTCAGAAAGTAGAGAGCCATGAATGTCAGGGGTGAGGAGCAACACTTAAACCCACTCTCTACATTTCTGCAGGCTAGGATCAGAAGATGGGGATGGTGCATGGTGTCCTGAAATCCCTGTGGAACCAGATGACCTGAAGGAATTTCTGGAAATTGACTTACATGCTCTACACTTTATCACCCTGGTAGGGACTCAAGGCCGCCATGCGGGAGGCCATGGCAATGAGTTTGCTCCAATGTACAAAATTAATTACAGCCGGGACGGCACCCGCTGGATGTCTTGGCGAAACAGGCATGGAAAGCAGGTAAGGTCATGAGACAGAGGAGGAAGAAATGCTTGCCGTAGTATTGGCATTCATTGTTGTTGTGTTAGTTTAGCAGCTAGGTGGCACCCTTAGTACAACAGTGACTAACCTCCTTGATTTTAACAAGAAATCTAGTGTGTTTTCCATGCTTGTAACTCCTTTCCAACTATTTGCTGTCCAATAGCCATTTCCTTTCTCATCCTATATGTGTCCACCTCCAGGTTCTTGATGGAAACACCAACCCGTATGACATTGTTCTCAAGGACTTGGAGCCACCCATCATTGGTCGATTCATACGTTTTATCCCTGTGACTGACCACTCCTCAAATGTCTGCCTCAGAGTCGAACTCTATGGCTGTATCTGGCTGGGTATGTACATAGCACATATGCATTCCGAAGACAGGAATGCATTTTTTTGTGACTGTTGAGGCTGCACTGGAATCTCCCTCGATTTGTTTAATATAAAAGGATTGTATTGAGTGAAATGGGTGGTGGATTGCACGTGTAAAGTAGAAACTACTGGCACACTGTCTGTTTGAAGGCTGGCCAGTGGATTTCTGGAGCCTGGATCAGGTGCGATGTTGGGGGCCCTGCCGTTTCTTAATTCAAAGAGTTATGTGGCCCTTTGCAATGTCATCATGATCACCTCTTTATCTGGAACCCCCAGTGGCACAATGAGAAAAACCCTTGTGCCGGCAGGACTGAAGGCCGACAGGTCAGAGGTTTGAATCTGGGAAGAGTGCGGATAAGCTCCCTGCGTCAGCTCCAGCTCTCCATGCGGGGACATGAGAGGAGCCTCCCACAAGGATGATAAAACATCAAAAAACTTTTGGCTGTCCCCTGGGCAACGTTCTTGCAGATGGCCAATTCTTTCACACCAGAAGCGACTTGCAGTTTCTCAAGTCACCCCTGACATGAAAAAAACCTCTTTACCTAACCTAGTCTTCAAAGCAATTATGTGTATAATTTTTTAAAAACCCAAGATTAATTAATTAATTGAGAAATTAATGTGTGCTCGCCTCCTTAAAAAAAAATTTGATGCAAAGACAAGCATTGCCAATAGATGGCGACATCAACTTTTAAGTTAGTAGTATATCTGCTTTTCATTTTAGTTTTAGAGCTAAGAGAAATTTGAGTCTGCACCATCGCTGAAGGATTTTTAAGGAGCTCTGTTTCTTGTATTTCACCAAGCTCTACCTGTAAAGTAACAGAGTTTTGACTGATATTATAATCACCCAGCTCCTCATGAGGCCACTACAAAAGTGTTTTTGTTTTGTTTGTTAGGAAGAACTTCCTAACTGTGAGAGCCGTTCAGCAGTGGAACTCTCTGCCCCGGAGTTTGGTGGAGGCTCCTTCTTTGGAAGCTTTTAAACAGAGGCTGGATGGCCATCTGTCAGGGGTGCTTTGAATGCAATATTCCTGCTTCTTGGCAGGGGGTTGGACTGGATGGCCCATGAGGTCTCTTCCAACTCTATGATTCTATTGTTTTGTTTTGTTTTTTGTCATGATAAAATGCAAATCACTTCTGGTTCTTGGGCCACTTTGATCCGGTCATATTCTTAGTACTTTGCTTTGTTCTCCACACCCATAGCTGGAGGAACAATCTTTCCCACCTATGAGAGGGATGCCCTTCACTTACCCAATGCCATCTTCTAATCACCGCAGACACTTCTATGACTGGTTGGGCTGTTACTGGACACTGTTTCTATACATAGTAGTTTTTCCATATCAACATCCTTGATTACTCACTTTGTAGGGAGCCCACCATGCACTTCAAAAGTTGTTTCATTACACAACTATTCTGGGATCTACAGGCAATACTTCCTTCACCTTTTACCTCAAGAAGCAAGGAGGAACACACTACTGGACCTTCCTTCAACTCACCTTCCATCTCTGAGTTTGGAGCACCCATAGAGGAATATTCCTGTTAGTGATGCACTAGCCAGTGACCTCCTTCATCCATGAGTCAAAAGTGGACTTATCCCTCTTCTGATGTCTTCCATTTCTAGGATTCATCCAGAATAGATCTCTTTGAATACCTAACAAATGCCCAATGCACTTTATTCTGCAGCAAGGGCTGTTGAATCAGTGGCTCTCTAGGAGATGTGTTTCTTTTCACTTTCACCTCTGCTGATCAATTTTCCTTCTTCATCATAGTCCTCACAAAGACTATCCAATGGTAACCCCACCAATCATAGTTTCTCCACCTCCTTAGGTTATCCAGCAGAGAGTGACAGTGTTTTCTGAGATGCCTGCTTCCCCTCTCCATGTGCTATGGCAGGATACTTCACCTGGACGTGGTCACCATCGGTCTGCCCTCTTTGGAGGTTTTGAGTGTCTTCGGAACAGTGCTCACAGGCACTCTATAAACTACTCCTATGTATTCAAATTAGCCTTTTTTGTCTCTTTTTCTGCAAAAGAGGAGTCTGGCTAGGGATAACATCTCCCTCAAACACATCCTTCACTTTTGTATGTCTCTGAGAGCTAAGAATCTATCACATTTTTGCTTTGAGAGTCTATGTGGTAACCATCTCTGCTTATTCTAAAGTGCATGATGCTCCATCCTGTTTACACAGACTTTTTTGAAGGGTACATACACCTAATCAAGGCCTGCTACTTCTCCCAAGTCCCCTTCAATATTATGGCAGGCCCCTTTGAATCCATGGCATCCTGTGATCTTCACCTGGTCTCCTGGAAGACCATCTTCCTCATCATCTTCATCTTTGCTGATAGAGGCAGTGACCTAATAGTACTACGGGTGGGTCCCCCTTACTTAGGCTTTCAAAAGGACAAGTGTTCTCCATGAACATCTCTTTCCTACCAAAGCTGCTTTCCACCTCCCATCTCAATGAACCTCTTGTTCTTCCAACCTTCATGTAGTCCCCCATCTTCTGATCTGGACCCTGCCTGCCATACCGTAGATGTTAGAAGGACACCCCTATTCTGTGGCTCTTGAACAAAACAATTTTGGAAGACCTATGGCACATATAAGAAGAGAAGGGTGATCTCATCTGTGTCACCTCCATTAGGTGGTGAATATAATTCCCATTGCCTGCTCCTTCCTAGGAAACTCCTTCAGCAAGGGCTTAAAGCTCATTCAGTTCAACATCTACTTCCTCGGAAAAACATATACATATAAGCAACCTATTCTTCCTGTTGTTACCACATTTGCAGTTTATTTGATATAATCAACTTTTAGTAACTACTCCTGCGGCCTACATTCTGCTGATCTTCTAATCTTACTGATTTGCTGTCTACATGATCGGGTGTCACCACCCCTATTCCTAAGTAAGGAGGCAGATCAGGTCCATATCACTTTCTAATTGCATTAACAAAGGATTATTGATTTTTGGGCACCTTTGCTGGCATCATCTCCATCCCTGTACTCTGGTACCACTTTGAATTAAAGGGGACATGCAGATGAGCATTAATGGGTAAAGGGAGATAAGCTGATGTGTGATTACGTGTGTGTCTGCACATTTACTTTTTGCAAAGGAGAAAGGCATGAGGAAACCAATGGTTTAGTTCTGGGTCTTCTCTGCAAACACAGTAAGCCAGAGGGAAAACTGCTGTTGTTTACAAAACCCTGTATGGCTGGTATTTCAGAATTAGATCATAGATGATATTGCTAACCATGCAGCTGGATCTATTCCCAGCCTTCAGGTTGGCTCTGTGTTTGTGGGCATCTCTCCAGATCTGTGTTCTCGCCAATAATAATAATAATAAACTTTATTTATACCCCGCCACCATCTCCCCCAACGGGGACTCGGGGCGGCTTACATGAGGCCAAGCCCAAACAACAAATTACAATAAAATAAAATACAAGTTACAATACAATAAACAACATCACAATAAAATACAAAACATAAGAATACAATAAACAATATACATTTCTTGAAAAACCCCCACAGTAAACCAAACATAATAACAGTGAGCGGGCCGCATGTACATAAAATGATTTAAAAACTCAGGGTGAGATAAAGGAGCAGAATTATTTATGAGTGAGAACCTGTGGAGAGACAGGGTGATAGACTGACCTTCGTACAAGGTGGGGTGTACTCCTAGGACAAAAACGTCGAGGGAACCAATAGCTTAAGATTATGTGACTACTCTCCAAAAGCGCAACGGCAGAGCCAGGTCTTGAGATTCTTTTTAAAGGTTTCTAAGGTAGGGGCTTTCCTAATCTCTCCGGGCAATGAGTTCCAGAGGGGGGGGGGGCACAAAGGAGAAGGCTCTCTCCCTTGCCAACAGCAAAAGAGTAAAAATAACCTCGATTGTATCCCTTTACAGATGGCCTAGTTTCATACAGTGCTCCAGCAGGACAGCAGTTGGTTCTACCTGGTGGAATTGCGATTTATCTGAATGATTCGATCTATGATGGTTACAGGTGGGTTCAATATTATCATGTGTCTAGCAAAGATTCAGGTGTGGGAAGTGGGAGATCTTTAAGCCATAGGTGAAGGAACCTGGCAATCTAGTTGACTCAAGGACGATTGTAATATGTTCAAATGGTCTTCAGCTTCCTGCCCATAAGTTTGTAATTCTGTGTGATCTCTCAAAGGTTGCGTCTTGCAGTGTCATTGATTCTCACATGGCCAAAAGATGGAGTAGCAGTCTGTGGGCTTGATAAGCCTTGTAACCTTTCTATTACAGCTTGATTTTTGCTCTGGAGACAACACACCTCTTGACTCATCCTATCAGGTCTACAGACCAGTGTTTCTGTTCCCCTTAGCATGAAGTCCTGTACTACCATCATATGTCTTCTTGGAGGTTTTGCCTTTGGGAAGAGTCACTGAGATCTTTCTTGTCCTCACCAATTGAGCAGTGAACTATAAGAAGAGCTCACTAAACAATCCTAGAGCTCATGGGCTCATAAAGGGAGATATGACCCTTCAAATAACCCAAACCAAAGATGTACAGGTCTTTATAGGTCAAAACCAGCACTCTGAATTTTGCATAGAAACAACTAGGTAAATGGTAGGACTGTGGCTACAAGGCAGTTATGTTTTTTATGTAGCCAGTGCCAGTTAAGAACTTGGTTGTAGGTAATTATCCAAAATAATACATTCAGCTAGGGTTGAAGAATCATATGGGATTATTTTAATGGGATTTGAGAGGCTACAACTGAGAGCAGAATTTGGTAAAAGCCCATTATGCATATTAAACTATATACATGGATCTCAATTTTTTCGCAAGCTATCCCTTGTGAATAATATAATACCACATCTGTATAAATAAAAATGTAATGTTCATTTGTGGGATTAACATAACTCAAAAACCACTAGACCAGTTGACAGCAAATTTGGCCACAAGACACCTACTAACCCAAGGAGTGACCATCACTCAAAAAAAGTAATTTTGTCATTTGGGATGTATAGTTAACCTACAATCAAAGAACATTCTGAACTCCACCAATGATGAAATTTAACCAGTCTTGGGACACAGGACTCCCATGACCAACAGAAAACACTAGAAGGGTTTGGTGTGCATTATCCTTGAGTTTTGGAGTTGTAGCTCACTTACATCGAGAGATTCAAACAATGATGGATCTGGACCAAACTTGGCATGAATACTCAGTATGCCCAAATGTGAACACAGATGGAGTTTGGGGGAAATAGACCTTGACATTTGGGAGTTGTAGTTACTGGGATTTATAGTTCACCTACAATCAAAGAGCATTCTGAACCCACCAATGATAGAATTGGGCCAAACTTCCCACCATCACTCTGGAATATTCTTCCACCTGAAGTCCGTGCCTTGCGGGACTTACCAGCTTTCCACAGGGCATGTAAGACATACCTGTTTCGACAGGCTTTTAATGTTTGATATTGCTGTTTTTAAATTGTTTTAAATTGCTTTTAAATTTTGTTAGATTTTAGCTATTCTTGTAAGCTCCGAGCCCCAGGGGAGTGGCAGCATATAAGTTCAAATAATAAATAAATAAATAAATGACCAACAGAAAATATTATGTTTTCTGGTGGTCTTTTGCGACCCTTCTGATACCCCCTCATGACTCCCTCCCAGGAGTCCCGACCCCCCAGGTTGAGAAATGCTGCCTTAGGGCCATCCAGTCCAACTCCCTTCACCAGGGCAAGAAAACATAATCAAAACCTCCTGACAAAGAGCCATCCATCAATAGATATGATCTATCCATCCATCCATCGATATAGATAGAATAGATAGATAGGATAGATAGATAGATAGAATAGATAGATTAGATGATAGATAGATATGATAGACAGAATACTGGAAGGGTTTGGTGGGCATTGACCTTGAGTTTGGGAGTTGTAGTTCACCTACATCCAGAGAGCACTGTGGACTCAAACAATGATGAATCTGGACCAAACTTGGCACGAATATTCCATATGCCCAAATATGAACACAGATGGAGTTTGGGGGAAATAGACCTTGACATTTGGGAGTTGTAGTTACTGGGATTTATAGTTCCTTTACAATCAAGGCATTCTGAAACCCACAAACAGAAATGGGGCAAACTTCCCACACAGAACCCCCATGACCAACAGAAAATACTTAATGCCATCCAGTCCAACTCTCTTCACCAGGGCAAGAAAATGTAATCAGAGCCCTCCTGAAAAAGAGCCATCTATTCATAGATATAGATAGATATATATGATACACACATATATAGCATCATAGATTTGAAAGGGACCCCTAAAGAAGTACAATTATATGTTGCATGTTCTAGAGTAGGCAAACCAGACACTCTCCAGATCAGCTCTGACAAAGAAACAACAAGAAGTACTGTTTACCCACAAGCATAAAGAGATTACATATATTAGAAACCAAGACTTTCTCATTACTTTAATTCCAGATCACCAGACTGGGCCACAGCAACGCCTGGCAGGGGATGGCTAGTTACAAAATATAAAAGCTTTCCCATCTCCTGCTAAACGAAAGTGTACTAAGACTCCATACATACCTCATCCCCCCCTGTAGTCATTGACTCAGATTTTGAGCAGTGATTCAGGAAACCATAATCAGTCCCATTGTTGCCAATTTGGAAAAAGATACTTGCTGAAATTCATGCTGGAAAGTATTGTTACTTACCATGTCCTTTTGTTTCCTTCTCATTTGCCTTCCACTAGCATGACAGAAGGACTAGGACAGCTGACAGATGGGGTTGCAGGCCTAGATGATTTCATCCAGACCCATGAATACCATGTATGGCCTGGTTACGACTATGTTGGCTGGCGCAATGAGAGCACCACCAATGGCTATGTGGAAATCACCTTTGAATTTGACCGGATCCGAAACTTTACTACCATGAAGGTTGGTTGACCTACTCCTGTGTTCCCATGAAGTATCAAATCACTGGTATTGCATGTGGGCCAGTTTTGTTGGTACGGTATAGTATTTGTTGCACCTTTTCTTCCTTGTATCACTGTCTATGCTGACATAGGTTTAGTGCAGGATTCTGGCTTGAATAAACAGTTACATTGGTCTGTAGAGATGCGTGACAAAGTTATAAATGAGATAACGAACAGTGAAAGGATCCTTGTGCAGAAACCAATCCCACTTTAACAGGTCAAGGGGGCGTCTCCATCCTTATTTCTGTAGCTCTGAGAAGCCTTTTTTTAGTTTGTTGATATAATGTCAGTTGTTGTATAGTGGACACTTGTATGCTGTTACTCTAGCTGGCATCACTACTGTCTTTAAAATATAGGGTGTCCCAAAAGTCTCCATACATAAGAAAAAATAGCAAATTCATATATTATGTATATTAACATTCATATATTTTATACTTCAAAGACAGGGGTCCTCAAACTTTTTAAGCAGGGGGCTAGATCACAGTCTGTAAAAATGTTGGGGAGCTGGGCCTTAGTTTGAAAAAATATTGAACAACTTTGTTTGCACATTGCACATACCTTATCTGCAATATTGTATTATTATATATTATTTACAATATTGTAATCTGGATTTATAATGTATCTGTTGTATAAGGTGGTGGTATGTAGTTTCTTTTTCAACAAAGCAGTTAACTTCATCTTTTCTGTTCTGCTATAATACTGCATGGAGCTTGATTCTGTATAGATTTTAGATTTCAGATTTCTTTCTTCATCTTTTCTCGTTTACTCTACAGATTGCTGAATAAATTGTTTCGTAATTTCCTGGGGGGATGTTTCACAGTTTGCCATGCTTTTAAGATCCTTTTAGCTCCTTATAGATGCGGTTTTGCTTATATTTCTTCTAAAAAATTAGGTCTGTGCACATCTAGATAGGTATCTTAAGACACTGAGGCCCCTTCCACACAAAATCCATGGATTAGATGGCAGTGTGGACTCAGATAACCCAGTTCAAAACAGATACTGTGGATTATCTGTCTTGATATTCAAGGTTATATGGCTGTGTGGAAGGGCCCTGACTAACGTCTTACCCACTAGGCGAACCTGGCAGAACACTGAGTATATGCTCAAATCCAGAATAGAGATTTTTTTTTCTATGGGAAGTGTTCAGATCAGGAGTAAAGGAGAAAAATAGGAATGTGAGGTTTCCTTCAAAAATATTATTATTGTTTATTATTTATTTATTTACTGTATTTGTATACCGCCTTCTCAACCCCCAGGCGACTCAGGACGGTTTACAATGGCAACGATTCGATGCCCAAAAGCACCATAAAACATTTTAAAACATTAACACATAATATAAAACCATAACAAGATTATTGAAACATAGATCATTTGCGTCTCTTAATAAAAAACATTGTCCCATCTCGTTGTCCAGTCGTTCCAATTCCTATGTCTTTTACTTGCTTTTTCAAACGCTTGCTCAAACAACCAAGTCTTGACTCTTCTGAAATGTTAAGAGGGAGGGGGCTGATCTAATGTCCCCAGGAAGGGCATTCCATAGCCGAGGGGCCACCACTGAGAAGGCCCTGTCTCTCGTCCCCACCAAACATGTTTGTGACGCAGGCGGGATCGAGAGCAGGGCCTCACTGGATGATCTTAAAGTCCTACCAGGTTCATATTCTGCCATACGATCACTTCTTTCTTTATGCCAAAAACCCAAGTCCGAAAAGCTTTACCTGCTCAATATGTACAGTTGCAGAAGTTACCAAAAACTGGCAACTTTAGTTGGAGCATTGCATTGAACTCAGACTATGTTTTGTCTCTCCTGTGTAGGTTCATTGCAACAACATGTTTGACAAAGGAGTGAAGATTTTCAAGGAGGTGCAATGCCATTTCCGTTCTGATTCAAATGAATGGGAGCCCAATCCCATCTCTTCGGTGCTGGTGTTAGATGACGTAAACCCTAGCGCCCGCTTCGTCACTGTGCCACTACTCCATCACATGGCCAATGCCATCAAATGCCAGTTCTACTTTGCTGACATATGGATGATGTTCAGTGAGATCACCTTCCAGTCAGGTATGACAACACAAGGATGGATCCTGCAACTGTGCTGTGTGTGTAATGTTGGTGGGGTTAGGTAGCAATTCAGAAGTGCATCTCAAGCAGTGTTGTCCTTCCCAGATGCGTCATCTGAGATCCTTTAACTGAAATAACCATTAAGTGAATTTAGGACCTTTTGCATGAAAAACAAGTTCTCTGAATTGTTGTAAACACTGATTTAAATTCAGTTCTGAGTCTCATCTGCAGTAGATCTATTTAATCAGTGGGAAATTGGTAAATCAACCCATATATATACTAGCCGTCCCCTGCCATGCGTTGCTGTAACCCAGTGTGGTGATCTGGAAAATAAAGTAACGAGAAAGTGTGGGTTTCTAATATATGTAATTTCTTTATGCTTGTGGGTAAACAGTATTTCTTGCTGTTTCTTTCTCAGTGTTCTCATTACTACTCTGGAACATGCAATATATAATTGTTCTTATAGGGATCCCTTTCAGATCTATGATACTATATCTCCCTGTGTGTGAATCATATCTATCTGTCTATATCTATGGCTGGATGGCTCTTTGTCAGGAGGGCTTTGATTACATTTTCTTGCCCTGGTGAAGGGAGTTGGACTGGATGGCCTTAAGTATTTCCCCAATTCTGTCGTTGGTGAGATTCGGAATACTCTTTTATTGTAGGTGAACTATAAATCCCAGTAACTATAACTCCCAAATGTCAAGGTCTATTTCCTCCAAACTCCATCTGTGTTCATATTTGAGCATATGGAATATTCGTTCCAAGTTTGGTCCAGATCCATCATTGTTTGAGTCCACAGTGCTCTCTGGATGTAGGTGAACTATAACTCCCAAACTCAAGGCCAATGCCTACCAAACCCTTCCAGTTTTTTCTGTTGGTCATGGGAGACCTGTGTGTTAAGTTTGGCCCAATTCCATCATTGGTGGAGTTCATCCAGTGGTTTTTGTGTTATGTTAATCCCACAAACTAACATTACATTTTTATTTATATAGATGTGTGTGTGTGTGTGTTAATTTATTCAATGGGGCTATTCTAATTGGATTTAACAGGGATTGGGTTTTATACTGAATTCAGCCAAATTAGCCTCTGGTCCCTTCTACACTGCCATATAATCCAAATTATCAAAGCAGATAATCTACTTTATCTACTTTCAACTGGAGTATATGAGTCTACACAGCCATGTAATCCAGTTCAAAGCAGATAATCTTAATTTTATATGGCAGTGTAGAGGGGGCTTATATAGCCCAGGGTTGTTGCAGACAGAAACTCTTAAGTATTTTCTGCTAGAAGAGAGTCTTTGGTTTGGGATGCCAGATATGCCACACACTTTCTGCATCAAAATCTATTAATTTTTTTTAATCTTGTAGTTGCTCAATTATTTAGGAGTGGGTCGACAGGCCAGTAGGCCGTGAGGCCTTGTATTCATATATGGTTTTACATGTTTTGTATGTTTTGCATGTTTTAGTATGGTCAAAATTGACTAATCAATAAAGAATTGTATCATTATTGCATCAAAATGTGCCTTACAGTGGAGCTATGAGCTCTCCTTTAGGATACTTCTCCTGAGTTTTGCATCCTCATGTAATAAGGCAGATAGGAGATTGAAAGGCTGTGGTGGAGTGCCATACATACCAGATAGCCTGCATGGTTCATAGACACCTCTTAGGCCATAAGGCCGGCATGTCTGCATGGAGCACCATTTCCTTCCTGCTGAGGCAGTACCTATTGATCTACTTATATTTGCATCTTTTTTAACTGCTAGGTTGGCAGAAGCTGGGTCTAACAGCAGGAGCTCACCCCTCTGCACAGATTTGAACTGCCAACCTTCCGGTCAGCAAGTTCAGCAGGGTTTAACCCATTGCACCACCATGACATTCCAGTTGTTTCTGGGATCCATTGAAGATCCCTTTGTCGCCATGTTGCCATTATTTCTCTTCTTTTTGCTTTTGAGCAGATGTCCAGACATTATTGTTTCATAGTGAAACTTAAAGAAACCAGCTTAAAATAAATTGTGCACTTTCAAATATCAAGATACCCACTCCCAGTTGTTGCTTATCTAAATAATAATACCTCCTCTCTTCTTCTTTTGTTAGATGCTGCCATGTACAACAATTCTGGAGCCATTCCTGAATCTTCAGTGACTCCCACCACATATGGTATGAAAAATATATTTCATTAGGTTGGGATGTGGACAAGTGATTTCAATGGAATATTGTAGTTATTCGTGCTGGGGCCACCAATAACTATAATACAACTCACCCCATCCTAGTCAGTGTTGTATAATCATTCCCAAATGTAATTTCAGCATGGAGGTTTTGGACTGATTTGGAGCACGTTTCAAACTTGGTGAACTGTTTTTAAATGTATATTTATTACCATTTTATGTAATTGGGTATTTTATTGGTGTTTTTATATTGTTGGAAGCCGCCCTGAGTCCCTTTTCGGAGGTCAAGAATAGGATGGGATACAAATGTTCCAAATAAACAAATAAATATTTCACTTTATTTGCTGTTGTTGGGGTGATAATCTTACAATTATGGTGGCAGTGCATTTTTTTAAAGTGTATCTTTCTCAGCTGAATTAGAGCAAAAGGCTAAACATTCCTGTTCTCATTTTAACAGAGCCATAACAGTGACTTTTTCCCCATGTGGCAAACAAATCCAAAACCTGGCGTAAACCTTCATTTTGTCTTGTCCTTTTCATGTTCTGTATTCTAGCGAACAGCTTAGAAAATATAAATAAGTGCTTTAAAATGAGTAGGGATTTTGTTTATAGAAACTATACAAGTGATGTTGCCAATTGGGCAGTTGTGTGAGGTCTTATCTACACTGCCATATAATCCAGATTATCGGAGTGGATAATCCACATATAATTCAGTTCAAAGCAGTTAATCTGGATTTTATATGGCAGTGTAGATGGAGTCTTAGGGCCCTTCCAGACAGGCCCTATATCCCAGGATCCCAGGTTTTCTGTTTATTCCAGATTATCTGGCAGTGGGGACTCATATAATCCAGTTCAAAGCAGAAACCTGGGATCAGATCCTGGGATATAGGGCCTGTCTGGACGGTCCCTTAGCGTGGTCCCAGTTTTTTTTACAACAGTATCAAAATGGTGGCGCAGAAAAGAAAGAACTCATGGAGAAAATGAAACTTTGGGTGAACAGGAGTACAATTCAGTTTATTATGAACTGACATAATTACAATAAGAATTTTTTGAGGCAACTAAAAAGAGTATCACTGCCAGTCTGCATGTCTAGCAGTATGCTAACTGGAAAGAATGGGAGATATAAGTGTACATTTGGAGGGCACCAACTGGGAAAAAATTGTATATATGTAAATATTTTAACAATCTGCTTGGATGTGACCAAAACCACACTTCTAACTGCTTCTGGCAAACTGATTTTATTTTCATTTTATTTTCATTTTTTTCCCATGAAGGCATTAATAGACATTAATTTGCATTACTGCTTGGGAAAACGTGGCTCAAGTCTATTTGGCTGTAATGTACGCAATGTTTGAGTAGTATTCAGTATTGCTGTTTTTGAAAAGGATAGTTGAAAAAACTGTTGAGTGTTGCAGATGTGATATTTTTATTCCAAAGGGATATTCCGTATCTTCATTAAAGATTTCCTATCTGTTTTATTCTACCTTTATCATTTTTTTCTTTCTGCCTTTCCTATTCCTCTAGTCTCCAATTCTCCAATTCAGCCTCTACTCTTGGCCTTTTCTCATGCTTTTCTTATCTCTGTAAGAAAACCCACCCTCCTTTTTGAGAACCAGGCTTCTAGACAAGAGCTTCTAGCCACTGCTTAGGCATAGGCTTTCTACTACTTAGAGGTAAGTGAAAGGTTACTTATTAAAATGAAGCTCATAGAATTCCTCTGATGCCATGCTGGCAGGAGGATTCTGAGAATTGTGTTATCTAAGGGCCCTTCCACACAGCCATATAACCCAGAATATCAGGACAGAAAAAGCCCACAATATCCACTTTGAACTGGGTTGAGTCCACATTGCCATATATTCCAGTTCAAAGCAGATAATCTGGGATTTTATTCAGCTGTGTGGAAGGGGCCTAAGATTGAATAAAATTACAACTTTATATAGTTGAGTTTGTTCCCTTTCTGTCCTTCCTTCCTTCCTTCCTCTCTTCCTTTTTAAACTATGAAAATATTGTGAACATGTGTCACTTATTTATTTATCTCAGTTATTTATTTGATATTTTTTACACAATGGTCTAAGCTTGAAAACTTCAGAGTAGCTAACCAATCACATCAAACATTTTTTTAAAACCAAACACTGAAATATCTCACATGCCTAATTAAAGGCCCCTTCTACAGTGCCATATTATCAAATCAGATCATCCACATTATCGGTTTTGAATTGGATTATATGAGTCTACACTGTCATATAATCCAGTTGAAAGCAGATAATCTGCATTTTATATGGCTGTGTAGAAGGGGCCTGAGTCTTTAAAGTTATAAACCAACACCTTTCTTAGATTGCACAGATGATTCGTGCAGTGCAGATTTGTGGCTTGTCACAAGTACAGTAATATCATTATCTGATACATAAATAGTTATCTGTTTATATTTATAACAAGTACTTTGAATTTGGGATTGTAAAGTAGCTACCAACAAGTAGGTATAATAGGCATTTAATAGATGATGTAGTGTTTATTTCTTATTTTCCAGAGTTCATGAAATGTCAATAATCATAGATGTAATTCTACTTAAAGGCAACCTGCAGCTTCCCAACAATTTATTATCTTCTGAGAGCTGGAAAAATACAATAACTAACAAGAGAATTTTATAATGTGATATGCATTTACTTTTCTGTTAGATGTCTAAGAAGACATGAATCCAGAGCAACAATTGTCAATTTGCATAGACAACTAATTTCAAGAGTCTTGTTTCTTTGTAAGTTCTCACCATCTTCTCCATATTTTGACAGATCCAACCCTTAAGGTTGATGACAGCAATACCCGAATCTTGATTGGCTGCCTGGTGGCCATCATCTTTATCCTGGTAGCCATTATTGTAATCATCCTCTGGAGGCAATTTTGGAAAAAGATGCTGGAAAAGGTACGACTCTAGACAGATGCAAGGCATGTCTGAATTATGGACATAATATGAATTGAGTAACATGCCAAAATAAATTGCCAGCTCAATGGCTGGAGTGGCTGAATATTAAGGCAACGCAGAGCATTCCCCATTCCTGCACACCCCAAGCAGCAGTTTCTTGAAGGTGTTTATTAAAAAATAAAATAAAAATATGGGAAACTGGTCAGCCAAGTCTATTTTGACAGTTTAGTATTGATGAATAATGAGTGGCAATACTAAAGCTGTACCATTACTCTGGTTCTCTCTACTCTGTGTTCCTCACATATCATAAATTCTATTTTCACAAGGAAAATGGACTCTTATATTGGATCTACTTTTAAAATGTGACTTCACTTACATGCTCATTAAACAGTTCATCAATATCAAATGACTCTTTATAGGAAATTGTGTTATTTGTATCTTTTTTCTTCCAGCCCCTCTTACTATTGCCTATTTTGTTGTGAGGAAAATCCTGTTTTCTCTTCCCTTCCAGGCCTCTCGACGAATGTTGGATGATGAAATGACTGTCAGCCTCTCTCTACCCAGTGAGTCAAGTATGTTCAACCACAATCACTCCACTTCTTCCAGTGAGCCTGAATCCAGTTCCACATACGACCGGATATTTCCCCTTGGTCCAGACTACCAGGAACCATCTCAGTTGATTCGCAAACTGCCTGAATTTACCCCAAAAGAGGAAGAGGCAGGTCAGAACTTGGAAAATCTTTCCAAAATCTGGAAGATACTTCTTTGATTTCATTCTTACATTTGCTGTATCACCTTGATGTGATGAACTTGGCTTTAGCCCATAGAAGTTTATTCTAAAATAAATCAATTAATCTTAAAGATGCCACACAGCTACTTTTCCCTTCCCCTTTTATTCCGAAACAGGCTAACACAGTCTTTGCAAATTGTCCTGATTTCACTTTCTGATTTTTTTAAATCCACCCAAATGGTGAATCAGCTTGAAATGAAAATTTATAGCAATCGCTGGACATCTTAATTTGGCTCAATTAGCACGAATATTGAGCAAGGGCAGTTAACACTTCCTGGCTAATATATCTCTGAGAAAGATGGAAAATTCCTTCTTATGCTAGTTGGTATTCAAAATAGCATAGTTGTGATCAATAATGAAATCAACATGTCTTTTTGCACATCTGGCATGGAATTCACAGTTCAGAAGTGAAGCTTTGTATCCTTGGAGTGACACCAGGCAACACTATACAACAAATTTGAAAAAAAAACTGTTCCTGGCTTAAACGTGTTATTTCCTGTTTAATTGTGCAGTACTTACTTTGAAAATAGTTTTTATACACCAGAAACTTTGTTTTTGTGGCTGCCACAAACTATGTTGAATTGGTTGAGACTCTATGAGATATTCATTAAAAAATATAGCAAAATGTGCTGCAGGATGTCCCGCAAAAACAAAGTTTTTGTAGTTTAATAAACTTATCCCATGTTCTTATGATAGAACCAATTAGGAAATGGCATTTATAACTCAGGAACAAAAATCGTGTTACATAGTGTAATCTGCAGGAGCTTTCTCGTTTGTTTAGACTCTGGGTATATGTCAAAAACATAACATTGAAATAACAGATCTAAGAGAGTAACTTCTGAATACAACAAGGTAAACCATATCTGAAGGAACAAATAATACAAAATGGAAGGGTTGTGGAGGAGCATGAAAATTTGAAAGGAATAACTAGTAAAGTATATAAGATAATAATTGAAATAAAGGAAGGAAAAACAAAAAATAACATCCTCAAGGAGGTCTGGGAAAAAGATTTAGGGATAAAAGTAAATGAAACAGAATGGCAACAATTATGGAGACAAAGACATCTAAAAACTTATCAATACGGGTTAAAGAACATTATTACAAGTTAATATGGAAATGGTACCTAACAACAGTAAGAATAACAAATATAAATAAAAACTATTCAAAAAATTGCTGGAGAGGATGTCAAGAATCAGGAACATATATACATACTAGCTGTGCCCTGCCACGCATTGCTGTGGCCTTTAGTAAGAGTTTTGAAGTCTCTGCCTGGCCTCTCTTCCTTCCTTCCCTCGCTCTCTTTCCCTCTTTCTCTCTCTCACACTCCTTCCTTTCCCCTCTTTCTCTCTCTCTCTCTCTTTCTCTCTCTGGCATCCCTCCTTCCTCCCCCTTCTTTATGCTTGTGTGTAAACTTGAGTATTTTCTGTTGGTCATGGGGGTTCAGTGTGGCATGTTTGCCCCAATTCTGTCATTGGTGGGGTTCAGGATGCTCTTTGAGTGTTGGTGAACTCTGAATCCCAGTGACTACAACTCCCAAATGTCAAGGTCTATTTCCCTCAAACTCCATCTGTGTTCATATTTGGGCGTATTGAATGCTTATGCCAAGTTTGGTCTGGATCCATCATTGTTTGAGTCCACAGTGCTGTCTGAATGTCGGTGAACTACAACTCCCATACTCAAGGTCACGGAGGGAAGGGGTGGGGCGAAGGGAGGGGGCGTGTCTTTCCAGAGAGGGAGGGAGGAGGGAAGGAGTGAGTCAGGGAGGGAAGGGGTGGGGCGAAGGGAGGGGGCGTGTCTTTCCGGCTCCCTTCGCCCCCACCCCTTCCCTCCCTGACTCACTCCTTCCCTCCTCCCTCCCCCTCCGGAAAGACACGCCCCCTCCCTTCACCCCACCCCTTCCCTCCGTGACTTACTCCTTTCGGGCGTGTCTTTCCGGAGGTGGTGGGAGGAGGGAAGTGCGCATGCTCAGTTGTTTTGGCAATTTATCGCTGTGTTGTTGTGTTGTTTTCAATTCTGAGTGGATTAGTTTGTACCGAGTGGGTTGTCCTTGGGGCATGGCAATTTTGGTGCAGTTTCGTTGGGGGGTTGTGGAGTTTTGCTGTCCCGTTGAACCAACCTAACAGATTTATATATATAGATGTGGTGGCAATGTAAATGTGTAAATACATTTTGAGATTTCCCATTTTATGTCTCTAGATCTGTACATAGTCTTTCTCTCTCTCTCCTACATATATTGATAAAATGGTTTCTATTCTTCTGAGAATGTGTTAAATGAATTATCCTTCAACAATATTGTTAATTTGTCAATTTCTATTATTTCCCACATCTTTAGTGTCCAATCATTTCCATTTGATATCTCTCGTTTTCCAATTTTGAGAAAATACACTTGCTGCCGTTAACATGTACTGCAGTCTTCTCTCATGTTCCTTTCTTATTCGATCATCCAATAGTCCTAGTAATGTATGTTCTAGCTTGAAGTTGATTCTTGTTTTAAGAATTTCTTGGATTACTCTATTAATTTGTTTCCAGAATGCTTTGGCCTTTTTACTTTTTACAAAATTTGGAAGCCATAAAATACCAATAAAAATAACAACAGTAGAAAAGAAGCACGTGATAATAGAAAGGGTTTTTTAAGGCCTCATATACTATTTCTTTTTTGTAGTTCCTTTTCTCCTCTGACATCCCTTGGCTGAGTTTCTTGTGTTCTGTAACTTCTCATCCTAGGTTGCAGTGGGATTACTAAACCGGCCTTGCCAAGTGGAGTTGAGGGCGTCCCTCATTATGCGGAGGCAGACATTGTGAACCTACAAGGGGTGACAGGTAGCAACACCTATTCTGTCCCAGCCATCACCATGGATTTGCTGTCTGGCAAAGATGTGGCTGTGGCTGAGTTTCCCAGGAAGTTGTTGACCTTCAAGGAGAAGCTGGGAGAAGGCCAGTTTGGAGAGGTGAGAACCCGCTGAGTTTGTATATCATGCTTCCCCAAAAAGTTGCAGCTCAGTGTAGTTTCTAGGTATGTGTATGTGGAGCTGTCCTTTAAGACAACCCAGAAACTGCATTTAGTGCAAAATTACCAGACCCTTATAATGTCTGTTTTAAAAAGACTGTACTGGCTGACAATATGTTTGTAATCTAAACCCAAGGTACTGGCAATGATATTAAAAGTCTTTGTAAAGTGGGACCTTGATACCTGAAAAATCAAGTAGCTTATATACCCCTCTATGACAGCCAAGGTACAGGCAGTCCTCGAGTTACAAAACATAGTTTTTTATTGTTTTAATATTAATTCTACACTGCAGTAAATTCTCATGTTATAGTACTCAATGTGAATATATAAAAAAACAAATAATCCACACGATCATTGTTTATTATATGTGAGTCAGTATGGATGCATGTTAATGTCAGAATTCCTTGACTTAAACAGTAGAGGTTGACAGCTTTTCAAGGAACTCAGCATGGTTCAGCATGATTCCATTGCGCTAAAACTAATCTGTGACTTCAAGCCATTTCAAAGCCCTTGAGGCTGAATCAGTAAACTATAAGGTGTACAGACTTTGACTTCTTATCTCAGGAAGCAGACTCCTCAATATGACTTTGTATCTGATGGTTGCCCACCTGTTGCTCTAGAGCAGAGGTCCTCGAACTTTTTAAACAGAGGGCCAGGTCATAGTCCCTCAAACTTGGAGGGCCGGATTATAATTTGAAAAAAACATAAATCAATTCCTATGCACACTGCACATATCTTATTTGTAGTGCAAGAAACACTTAAAAACAATACAATAATTAAAATAAAGGACAATTTTAACAAATATAAACTTATTAGTATTTCAATGGGAAGTGTGGGCCTGCTTTTGGCTGATATAGGATTGTTGTTGTGTGCTTTCAAGTCATTTCAGACTTAGGTTGACCCTGAGTGAGGGCAAGGTAAATGACCTTGGAGGGCCGTATCCGGCCCCAGGCCTTAGTTTGAGGACCCCTGCTCTAGAGGCCTATGAAGAAACATGGGTTTTTAAAAGTTATTAGCTATTAAGTCAACAAATTCACTTGTTAAATCCCTGACCTCCTTATAGAGAAGGACTTATGAACAACTACAGGTTGTTTAGAGAAGATGGACAAGATTTGTAATTTCTATGTATCTGTAACCACAAACCGCGTATGAATGAAACTCTTACTCCCTAAAGGATGGAACGTAGAGTTTCTTTCCTACAAAGCCCTGAACGATTTGGGACCTGCCTACCTGCGTGACCGCATTTCTGTGTATGAACCCACGTGATCTCTTCGATCATCTGGAGAGGCCCTCCTCTCGCTCCCGCCCCCTTCGCAGGCGCGATTGGTGGGGACGAGGGAGAGGGCCTTCTCTGTGGTGGCCCCCCAACTCTGGAACTCACTCCCCAAGGATATCAGACAAGCCCCCACATTAGCAGTCTTTAGGAGGAAAACATGGCTATTCCAGTGTGCCTTCCCTGAATAAGGAAACAATGCCCTGCTCTGATTAATTCTCTGCAATTGTCCTCAGAAGCACTTTACTACCTGTTGGGTTGGTCTCCCTACATTATCTTTTAAAACCCTCCTGCTTAGATACATCCTACCTCTGTTCACGCCCAATGTTTATTTTAATTTTTTTAATTTATTACATCTGGCCCGGCCATAAGATTTTAAATTCTCTGTGTTATTGTTTATATGTGAGTTATATTAATTGTACTGTTTTATTTGCCTGCTGTTTTGTTTTTACTGATGTGTTGTTGGGCTTGGCCTCATGTAAGCCGCCCCGAGTACCCTTGGGGAGATGGTGGCGGGGTATAAATAAAGCTTTATTATTATTATTATTATTACTGCTAGATGCCTCTCCCAGGGCAAAAACAGCCCCTAGCCTCAGTCTTTCGTAAGGTGGCGATCCTGCAACTTAGGGCCTAATGAGATTTTCTTCTTTTGCAGAATTATTTTTTTAGATTTGTTTCTGGTTCAAAATAGTTAAGAAAACTTGATATTTCATGACACTATTTTGTGACTTTTTGTATAATTGTAATGTGTTGCCATCGTGAAATATACGGCTTTGAAACTGGGTCCATCATTTTGAAACACAAAAATACTAAGAAACTTCTCTGGAGGTCTTTGTAACATAGGTCTGATAGTGACTGGGTTCTCTTGTTGGCTCGCTCTACTTAATATCATTGGAATTCAGTAGAGGGAGTTGTTGTGTCTCTAAGGCTTCCTTTAATGTTTAAATCAGCCATAGTGGAGTGATAAGGAGAAGATCTGCTTGAACAAGGAATTTCACAAGCAGCTGTGACCCTGACATTGGCAACATATATTAGCTATGTGGTTCTTCATACAGAGCTGAAAATAGAGATGGAAGAAGGAGGCTGGGTGGGGAATCATCCTGGGTTCGGTTTTTGTACTTTAGCTTTTCACTCTGTGGTACGATTAATAAATTTTCTGTCTGATCAATGCTGCTTGTTTCATTTCCTCTAGGTCCACCTATGCGAAGTGGAGGGGATGGAGATGTTTGTGGACAATGGTTCTGTTTTGGATGCTGACCTGAAGCAGCCTGTCCTACTGGCCGTGAAAATGCTGCGAGCTGATGCCAACAAGAATGCCAGGTGCATGAGAGATCTCGAATATGAGAGGGAAACAGCTATGGTATTCTTAGGGATGGTCATAACAGGCTCTTTAACCCTAAAGAAAACTCTCCCCTTCTGAAGATGCCAGTCACAGATGGAGGCAGAATGTCAGGAGAAAATGCTGCTAGAAGACAGCCATACAGCCTGGAAAGCACACATCACCCAACTCTCCCCTTGTCTTTCATATAAATATGCCATCAGATGAACACTGAATGCTTTTATCCTTGCTTATTCCCTCATTATTTAAGCAGAAATGTTGCTTTTAAAAAACCAGTAAAAATCACATGCACTTCATGAATTAGACTTATCTGAACATTTCTTTTTCTTACTAAAATAATTCAAAAACAGTTGCAAAATCTCTCCAGGAAGGAGCGAGGGAATAATTTATATGTACTAACCAGTTGGTGGCCATCAACTTTCCCCCATCTCAACATATTTATTAAATTTTTAATTAATTTTTCAAAAAATGTAACTTAATTCCACCCAATTAAAAATTATTAAAAACCCAGGCACTGGAATAAAACAAATGTAACAAATAATCCTTTAATTTTGTCTCCACATAGTTTTCCCCTGCCCCATATCTCCTCTCTTGGGGAAAAAATAAAATAAAAAACCAAACTGACTTCTCCCCTCTGACCACCCTTCCCAAATGTAAGGCATCTAATATGCCAACAGGCAGTTCCCAAGTTACAAATAAGATAGGTTCTGTAGGTTTGTTTTTAAGTTTAATTTGTTTGTAATTCAGAACATGTACACCGGGAGCCCACGGTGGCGCAATGGGTCAAACTGCTGAGTTGTTAAACTTGTTGCCCGAAAGGTCCCAGGTTCAAATCCGGAAAGCGGCACAACTTCCACTGTCAGCCCCAGCTTCTGTCAACCTAGCAGTTCGAAAACATGTAAATGTGAGTAGATCAATAGGTACTGCTCTGGTGGGAAGGTAACGACACTCCATGCAGTCATGTTGGCCACATGACCTTGAGGTGTCTTCGGCCTAGAAATGGGGATGAGCACCACCCCCAGAGTCGAACACTACTGGACTTAATGTCAGAGGAAAACCTTTACCTTACCTTTTACCTACATGTTTTAAGTGTAACTCCAGCTATATATTATACATATATAAGCTTTGGATACCATAGGGAAGGGCAAACACCCCTGTAGTGTTTGTTTTGCTGTCCGTGCCCCTGTACAGAAAAGTTCACCTCATTTTCTGTCCCTGTGAGAATTGGATTTTTGAAAAAAATTGGCTTCTTGTGGAAACAAGGACTGGCAATAAAGCTTCAGTTGTGACCCCTTTTCCCATGGTAACTCTTTCAGAGTGAATTTCCCTTCCAAAGTGTAGATTTCTCTCACTTCCTGTAGTTTCGCCCAATTCTTAACCACGAGTCATTTATAAGTTGGATGTTTGTAACTCGGGGACTGCCTTACTTCTATTAGTTGTATCAACTTCGGCTCAATATAAACAAATATACCAGTGTTTAAGATTAATAGACATCAGCAAGTAATATTATTGTGACTAAAATTCAATTCTTGTAATTCCATTCATCATCTCAAGATTTTTAATTTTTTTTCAAAATATTTTTGAACTATGGATGGTTGAATCTGTGGATATGAAGGGCCAAATGTATATGCAAATACAGGTATTCCAAAATAATCAAAAATCCAAAACCTTTCTGGTCCAACATTTCAGATACTCAACCTGCAGCTGTTTCTTAATCAATAGAGATGTTATAATCTGATCCTTCTCCTTCATTTTGAAATGGGTTACTGACTGCAACAACCAAGATCTTCAGTTTCCACTTGTGTTGAAACTGAAGAACTTGTGTATGCTTAGCATTATAAAGGAAGTTTCAAAATAATGGACTCAGTTTCAAAGTTGTATATTTCACGACAGCAACATATTACAGTTACACAAAAAGTCAAATAGTTTAATGAATTATCAAGTTTTACTACTTTGAACCAAAAATACATCTGAAAAATAATTCTGCCAAAGGAGAAAATCTAATTAGTCCTTTAATTGCGGGACTGCCATCTTACGAAAGACTGAGGCCTCTTCTACAGTGCATGTTGGAATGAAAGACTTCTTGACATGTTCTCTTATTGATAACATTCACAAATCCATATGAACACATGTGAAAATACATAAATACACTCCACTTTACAAAATTCTTGATCTAGTTTTCTAAGAGGCAGAAGCTTTATCTTCACTGTCTTCCTAGAAAACTTATTCCACATCAATGACAATGGGAAAAATAAAATCAAAGTACCTTTTTCTCAAACTAAAGATGTCACAGTAATTTAAAAATTCTGGTTGGTTTAAAAATTCACACAGTAAGAGGTATGGAGAAATGGTAGGAAGAAGAGGATGAACATGTCTAATGTTTGATCAGGTGCCGTGTTCATGTCAGACAAATGATTTGAATCGGGCACTTATTGATCTAAAACTCTACTGTTAAAGTATGCTGTAGCACAACTAATGCTTCTTCTATATGATTTGTTTTGTTTTCTATTTGGAAGGAATGACTTTCTTAAAGAGATTAAGATCATGTCCAGATTGAAGGACCCCAACATTATCCGGCTGCTGGCCGTGTGTATCACTGATGACCCGCTCTGCATGATCACAGAGTACATGGAAAATGGTGATCTCAACCAATTTCTATCTCGCCAGGAGCTCCAGAGCTTGATAGTGAGCTCTGCCTCTGCTGTCAGGTAACCAACAAGGGTTCTGTAAACAATGGCCTATATACTCTCTCCTGTGTGGGACAACTCTTCCACATTATAGCTGTATGAAAGGGCTCAAAATGGCCTCCCTGGTTAAATTGTTCCACATCCTAACTAGAAAGCACTTTCTGTCTCTGTATTCTACATACAGAGATATAGCATGTCACCCACCCTATATCTGTACATTTCATTCTTTTCTGCCTGTGTGTAATACTGCATATTTCTCACTTTTGAAATGCATTTTGTTAATTTTGGCCCAGCTCCATTTTGGATTGACTGTTCCTCCCAATATGATGCCATCTGCAAATCTGATCAGCATGCCCTTTTCCCCATAATCCAAAACATTGTTAAAGACGTTGAATAGCATTGGTCCCAGGACAGAACCGTATGGCACCTAACTGGTTATTTCTCTCCAGGATGAAAAGGAGCCATTGTTGAGCACCCCTTGGGTTCAGTTAGTCAACCAATTCCCAATCCACTTAACAGTAGCATTGTCTAGTTCAAAGTTTATTAGCTTCTTTGCAAGAATATAATGTGAGACCTTACAAAAGCTTTACTGACGTTCAGGAATACATAGAGGTCACATTCTCCTTACATCCATATTATTAAAAACAATAAAATGGCTTTTTTGTTATGTCCAAAGCAAAAGGCAGCACAACGAAATGGAACAGCCACTGTGTACAGGTGATGGCAAAATGCTGGCAAGGGACTGAGAAAAGGCAGGACTACTCAACACCTTTTTTTCCCTCAGTCTCCATGCATCCAAGGAAGTTGAGTCAGTCCATTAAAGCATGTTCTGCAATAGATCTTAAAGTTTTGTTTTAAAGGTGTGACACAACTCTTAGACCCCTTCCACATTGCCCCATAATGTGCCATTGAAGTTGCATTAGCCTGGGCCATCCAAACGATGCAACAGACTAATGGAATAGACCTGGAATAAACCTAATAATAATAATAATAATAATAATAATAATAATAATAATAATAATAATAATAATAGAACAGACCTGGAATAAACCTGTTCATCCAACTTTATTCCAGATTTTTAAAATACCTGCAAAACATCCAGATCTTCCAGAAAGATCTAGATCTTTGCAAGTATGGGGCTTGCCTTCCCACAGTCATGTTGCGCTCCCCGGGCTCAGGCAAGGAGGGGTGAGTGCCGATACTCCTGTCTACCTGTGCTGATCATGGATCGGCATGGGTGGCTATATGGTCATCCTCCAGTTGAAAAAGTGGGGTTTCCCCAACAGTCTGGCCTCCAAATGCAACAGGAATTGATATTCCTGGCACATTTTGGGCTGTGTGGGAGGGCCCTGAGTTGTTTTGTTGCAACAGACTAAAATGGCTATTTGAAAATTCCTTCTCTGGTTCTCCAGCTATGCTGATCTGAAGCGAATAGCCACACAGATTGCTTCTGGTATGAAGTACCTGTCCTCCCTGAATTTTGTTCACCGAGACCTGGCTACACGCAACTGTCTGGTGGGGAAGAATTATACCATCAAGATAGCCGACTTTGGTATGAGCCGGAACCTCTACAGTGGAGATTATTACAGGATCCAAGGCCGAGCAGTACTCCCCATTCGTTGGATGTCATGGGAGAGCATCCTCTTGGTAAGCATCTTGCACTTCCTATTGGGGTTGTGAAGGCAAAGGTGTACTAATGCATTTGTGTTTGGACTTGGATGTGTCTTAATTCAGACTAGCTATACTTTGGCCACATACATAACAGAACAGGCTTGACTTGTTGACTATGGTTGAGCTGAAAGAGGAACAAAGGACTTTTGGTGAACATTTCTGGCACTTGTAAAAGAGCCACTTTCGGTGATTTTTCTGTTACTGCTTCCTACAAATTGAAACATTTCTCCTATTCTGAAAACATTTTTCCCGTTCAGAAATATCTTGGTTTTTAGGCTTGTTCCTGGGGTTATTTGGGGTGCTAATTCAGAAAACTTCATTGGATAGACCACATCAGCTCTAGTTTCTTAGGGCGCTTAAACACAGTACCTATAATTCAAGGGAGAACGGGTTAAAAAGGGGAGTGGCCAGGTTTATTTATTTATTTATTTACCATATTTATATACCACCTTCCTCACCCCTGGGGGGACTCAAAGCGGTTTACACATAAATAATGGCAAAATTCTATGCCTTACATTGGGCACTGATACAATGCCAATACAATCACAATAGTAAAACCACAATTAAACAACAACAGATGACGTTTGTGCTAAATGCGCAGTCAACCGCAGCAACAGAGGGAAAACCCAATCGAAAAGGTCCTCTTTTATCCTAGTTCCAGGTGAAAAAAGTGGATTTGACTGTGTGGCCCTGCAGTCATGTAAAGTTCAGGATTTCCCTCTTTAGCCCCTGTGTTGACTGCTTCCTGTCCAGGCAGGTTTTTAAAAGTCTGAAACAACTCCCACAGAGACACAGCTGGTTTCCGGATAGTTTCAAGAGAGAAGTGGTCTCTGAAAGTATTTGTTTTAAACTTTATAATATTAAATAGATCATGAATAAACAATTGAGGAAAGAGGAAAATCCGGCAGCATTTTTTTTTACTCCCACCATTATGCGCGGGTTCGTATATGTGCCTATAGGAATCTCTCCATATTTGTATTAGGATATTCTCATGCACTCATATAAGTATCAGCACATACCGTATATACTCGAGTATAAGCCAACCCGAATATAAGCCGAGTCACTTAATTTTACCACAAAAACTGGGAAAACRGATTGACTCAAGTATAAGCCGAGGGTGAGAAATTCAGAAGCTACTGATYTATTTCAAAATGAAAATAGATACCAATAAAATTACATTAATTGAGGCATCAGTAGGTTAAATGTTTTTGAATATTTATATAAYATWYATACTTTAAGATAAGACTGCCCTAACCTTCTTCGATGTAAATGRGCTTACGTATCCTTTCAGTAATAATAAAGACAGTAAAATAATAAATGGAATAATAATAATAATAATAATAATAATAGAGTGAAACAATATAAATGGAATAATAATAATAGAGTGAAATAATAAATGTAATAATAACAATCATAGAGTAAAATAATAAATTTAATGATAACACTTATAAAATAAAATAATAAATGGAATAATAATAAAGTAAAATGATAACTATAATAATAACAAATAGAGTAAAATAATAAATACAACAACAACAACAACAACAACAACAACAATAATAATAATAATAATGACAGCGTAAAAGAATAAATAACCTTGACTCAAGTATAAGCCGAAGGGGACTTTTTCAGCCTAAAACAAGGGTTGAAAAACTAGGCTTATACTTGAGTATATACAGTAATTGAGTGATTAAAAAATATTCCTGTAGATTTCCCCCGTCCGCCCTCCATTTTATCCCGAGACACAGACGGGCTGTGAGGATGATGGGAGAAGAAAGTCTGGGACCGGCAGGTCTGTGTGGGGACCTCCTCTGAGGTCTTGGGTTTGTTTATCCAACATATTAATCTTGTGTTTTGCCGCTGTCTGGAAGTGCCTTGGGTTGCCTATTCCTTTATAGCAGGAGGTTGGGCTAGATGGTTCTTGTGGTTCATTTTCGGTCTATGATTCTATCCCAGAATTTTCAGTACCAACTTGAAATTGTTATGGCTACCTACTGAAATCGAGATAAGTTATATTTCCACATAATCCCCGTCATCACGCTTGTAACTCCATCAAAACAAGATAAGACTTGTTTTTAAGAAGCCCACACTGACTTTTTCTGAGTATAGTATTCCTTCCTAAGTGCTTACAGATTGTCTATTTCCTGATCTGCTCTAGAATGGTATTTATGTCAGGCTGACTGGGTGGAAATTGTTTGAATCCTCCCCCCCCCTTTTTGAAGATGGGAAACAACATTTTCCCTCAACCAATCTAGTGGAACGTCTCCTCTTCTCCAGGAATTCTCAAAGTTTATTGCTAGTGGTTCTGAAATCACTTCTACCAGTTCTTTTAATACACTTGGATGTAGTTCATCCGGCCCTGAAGACTTGAATTCGTTAGATTCGCCAGATGTTCCTGTACTGCCTTTTTTATCTTTTTTGTGCTGCATTTTCCATTCTGCATCCACTGCTCCATCCTCAAGTTGAGTCCTGTTAACCTTTTGGTCTCGGTGAATAAAATTCAAGGAGGCTCAAAAGAATAAAAATATACTCTGTCACAGCCTTGGTAGATCCGTGTGATGTTTCTGCTGTATCCTCTTGGAGATTTGTTAAAATATTGGGATACTGCACATCTTTGGATATTTCTGTACACAATTTTATAAATATTGTACTTATTCTCCCTCCTTTCCTCCCATTTCTCCATTCAGGGGAAATTCACCACAGCCAGTGATGTCTGGGCATTTGGTGTGACACTTTGGGAGACCTTCACTTTTTGTCGTGAGCAGCCGTATTCTCAGTTTTCAGATGAGCAAGTAATTGAGAACACCGGGGAGTTCTTTCGGGATCAAGGACGGCAGGTACGGAATCATGTAAATGGAAGCCATTAATCAAAAGAACGGTATCTGATCTGCCTAGATATTTTTGTACCAGATAAAGGTTCAGATTTAAATTGCTGAGCTTATTTTGAGAAAATACAGGTCCACAACATAGAATGGATACACTCCCCGACTGTCATCGCCACCACCTCAGCTGTGGGGTAGACAGAGGGGTGGGGAGGGCCCTTCGCTCTCCCTCCCCACATACTGCRTTTTTGTGCCATTTTCAGCACTGTGCATGCCCCGCAGCCTACAGGGAAGGTGGGGGGGGGGGGGTGGCAGACCTCCCTGGCTCAAGCTCCAGTGGAGCAGCCGCAAACCTCCTCATGACATCACCAGGCCTTGAGCCAGGGAGGAGGCCTCTCTGCAAGCAACTGTGCTTGGGCAAGGCAGGCCAGGCCTTGCCCAGGCACAGTCACTATGACAGCCTGCGTTGGCAGCAGCAGCACTGTGGCAGAAGTGGAGAGGCCTTCTCCTACTTCCACTCCCTGGCTCAAGGCTCAAGGAGGCCTTAGGGCTGCTCCGCTGGGCTTTGAGCGAGGGAGGAGGAGCAGGAAGAGGCCCCCCTGCCTCTGCCTCTGCTGCTTAGGCTGGTGCTTGAGATTAGGGATTTTTAGTTCACCTACAATCAAAGAGCATTCTGAAATCCACCACCGATGGAATTGAACCAGTCTTAGGACACTACCTGGCCAACATTAAATACTGGTGGGGATGGGGCCGGGGGGGCTGACCCAACATGATGGTAACAGTATTTCTCCCTGCATCCAGAAGACCTGAGGTAAAGGGGAAGGTGAGATAAGATGGCCTTCATGGTGCTCCTAGCCTCCCTCGCCTCCTGTCCTGATTCAGCAGTGAGGGTGGATGGCTGTTGGTGCCTCTTGTGCTGTATCCACAGAGGGGAGTTAGGAAAGGGGTTTGCACATTCGCTGTGTTTTCTTCCTTTTTGAATTTTAAAGATATTATCATTGTTTATGGGGGTTTTTTTGAGTGAGGGTCATTCCTTGGGTTAGTAGGTGTGTTGTGGGCAAATTTGGCATCAATTACTCCAGTTTTATTTTTGAGTAATAATAATAATAATAATAATAATAATAATAATAATAATAGTAGTAGTAGTAGTAGTAATAATAATACTTTATTTGTGCCCCATTACCATCTCCCCAAGGGACTCGGTGCGGCTTACATGAGACCAAGCCCACAGCACATCAATAAACAAAGGCGATAACAAATAATATAAAACAGTTAAAATAAACTCAAAAACAGAAAATACACAATAAGAAATAAACAATAACAATAACATACCGCATTTGAAACCTATGGCCGGGCCAAATGTAATAATTAAAATTTAAAAATTTAAAATGCTGGGCATGAACAAGGTAGGGTAAACTAGGATAGGGTTTTCAGAGAAAGATGAGGGCGTGCAGACAATCCTAAATCAAAGTGCATTTGAGGACATATTGCTAAGAGTTTTCCTTATTCTGGGAAGGCACACTGGAACAACCACGTTTTCAGGCTCCTTCTAAAGACTGCCAGCATTGGGGCATGTCTGATGTCCTTAGGGAGTGAATTCCAGAGTTGAGGGGCCACCACCAAAAAGGCCCTCAAAACAAACAGAGCAATATATATATATATATATATATAAAAATCCTTTGTGAACCTTTTGAAGCCATATACTACACTGTGCCCATCATGCAGCTAGTGGTTCTTGTACTTTGGAGTGCCACCTTCCTGGATATCAGTATTTCATATTAATATCACACTCTCAGCCAAACCTTACCTCGCAGAGTTGTTGCAAAGATTAGCAAACCCACTATTGCAAGCTGCCCTGACTTTTTTTGGAGGGAAGGAGAATACAAGCAAGGTAAACTGCAATAAATAAGTAGCTTGCCTTCAGGTGTATCACATTACATGCTGGAAATGGTGGCTGTTGTCTTTTGATGCCTTTTAGGAAATAATTGATTGCTTTGCCTTCAACATATCCTCTTTTCTTTTTCTGGTTTAAGACCTATCTTCCACAGCCTACATTGTGTCCTGATTATGTATACAAGCTAATGCTCAGCTGTTGGAGACGAGATACCAAAGACCGCCCCTCCTTCCAAGAAATCCATTGCCTACTCCAAGAAGCACCTACTTCATAGTGATGCCTTCCTTTCAAACCCCAGACCTATGTTACCTCTCTTCCCTCTCATCTCTCACCTTCCAAAATGTACACTAAGAACTATGTTGGATTCACCATTTCCTTTGACACCAGAGCTGAAATTTCAATATCACCAACGGACACAAAGCAATTGGGATCTGACCACATCGATCACATAGCTACATTCAAGGTGCTGTGCTTTGGACTGGCAAAGACTGTGAAAAACAAGTATTATTATTCTTGTAAATGTTGTAGGATCTGATGTACAAGTAGATTTGTTTATAGGGGGTGCGGGGGGGAGGGGGAGGGAGAGAAGCAAGTTCTTTACATATGAAAGAACTTGAAACATAACCTAAGCGTGGAACTGAGCTGGGAAGAAACATACAGGGCAGGGAAATACTGAAGTATCTACAATACTTTATGCCCACAGCTAAGTGTATGTCACAGATCTGTAGATATGTAGAATGTGGCACAGAATTTTGCTTCTTTCATTTTTATTAGAAAAGGATTTCATTCCTTATTGTTATGTATATAGGCTTGAAAATGTGTGGAAAATACTTGCTGACATTTCAGAAGCTAGAAGGGTTACTGAAATAAATGACTAGTGATTTTGGATAGGCCTCAGTGCTACATAATTAACCAATCCAGACTTACCTATGTAAAGTAATTTTAAAATTGTGTAGTGTTCCGATTGTACACATTGCACAGGTTAGATGTACATGCAGCAGATTTGGATTACTTTGTGCACTTTTTTCCTGTTGATGTTCTACATGAAATACCAGTTGCTGGTTTGATCCCTTGAACAAATCTCTAGATCCTGGGTCAACTGACTCCTACTAAACAATTTCTGATGGTTGCTGCCCTTGCACTTTTCTGCTTGACTTCCAGGAACATGAGCTTGAAAATGGGATGCCCTAATAATAGGAGTTTGTGATTTTAAAAATCATAAAACCTTAAAGTGTTGGAAGGGGCCACAAAAGCCATGTCGTGCAACCCCCACCATGCAATAAAACACAACTGTCAGTTTAATGAGACAGAGAATCCACTACCTCTCTAAAGATACAAAATCCACTACCTTCTTAATGTTTAGGTGAAATTACTGTTTTTGTAATTTGAATCTATTGGTTTGCGTTCTAGATTCTGAAGCAGCAGAAAACAAACTTGCTTCATCTTCTACATGACATTCCTTCAGATATTTAAAGATAGCCATCATGTCACCTCTCAGACTTCTCTTTCCCAGGCTGAACATATTTAACTCCCTGAACAGTTCCTCATATTAAGGCTTGGTTTTCAGACTTTTGATCTTCTTGATCTCCCTTCTCTGGACACATTACAGCTTTCCCAGGCTGAACATATTTAACTCCCTGAACAGTTCCTCATATTAGGGATTGGTTTCCAGACCTTTGATCTTCTTGATCTCCCTTCTCTGGACACATTCCAGCTTGTCACTGTCTATCTTGAACTGTGATGCCCAGAAATGCAAACAGTATTCCAGATGAGGTCTGAAAAAAGCAGAATAGAGTGGCCCTTTTGTTTCCAATAATAGTAGTAGTAGTAGTAGTAGTAGTAGTAGTAGTAGTAGTAATTGAACTGCAAAGGTTCTGGTATAAACCAGCACAGGTGGTCCCAGTGGTAATCGGCACATTGCTTGCTGTGCCAAAAGGTCTCAGCTGGCATTTGGAAACAATAAACATTGGCAAAATCATGATCTGTCAACTGCAAAGGGCCACCTTACTTGGATTTGTGTGCATCATTCAAAAATATATCCCACAGTCCTAAACACTTGGGAAGTGTTTGACTTATGATTTTGTTATACGAAAACCAGCATATATATTTTCCTAGTTCCAACAGACCTCACTACCTCTGAGGATGCTTGCCATAGATGCAGGCAAAACGTCAGGAGAGGATGCCTCTAGAACATGGCCATATAGCCCAAAAAAACCTACAACAACCCATGATGTAGTGGTTTGAGTATTGGACTATGACATGGGAAAGTCACGTTCTTTCAATATTCTGAATAAATCTTACTGAGAAGCCCTCATTATACTTTTGTCTTCAGGTCACCTGTCAGAAACAACTTGAAGATACACAACAAAGTGACACTTTCTCTTTCCAGGCAAGATGCACGGAGTTATTGCCACCACAGCCCGATTACCCAAATGTGCCGATTCTTAAGGATGCAGCAGTAGGAAACAATCATAAGTGTGCTGGCTGAGTAGCCTTTGAGGCAGAGCTTTGGATCAACAGATGTGTCTTAGAAACTATAATCAAGGAAGGAACAGCCCTGAAAGCATACTTCTGAAAGTACTGTAGGGCCTCTAGGAAAATACCGTATAGACTTCTGCACTGATAAGAGAAAAACAAGAAAGGATTAATGAAAAAGCATCAGAGAGATTGCTTGTTCCTTAGAAAATCAAGGTCAGTTCAATCTATGTTTTGACTGGGCTGAGATAAAACTCCCTTCCTCCACTTCCTATCCAGAATTGGGTGGATTAATGCCATTCTGACGCATAGTATACTAGTAGTTTTTGCAAGAGGTGATTGAGCATTCTCCTCCTCTCCATCTCTGCTCTTCATTTTCTTGGAAACCATGCTATGAGGAACTTTCAGTCATATTTGTGGGTCTTCTTGACCCATCTTCCTTCCTTTTTCCTTTTGTCACTGGCCAACAATAAGACAGAGTGAGCCATACTTGTAATACTTTTTAAAAATTTATTTCAAAGCCTTGGGAGGCTGGAACATTTCAGTTATTTTTCTCATCTGTTTACATTTTTAGATGTAAGTCTTGTACTTCACTTTAGATAGAGGCACAATCATTTGGCTTGTTTCTATGTTTCTGGTTCAGTTGCATTCAACTCCCTTGTATCTTGTAAATAGATTTTAAATCTACAACAGATTTCTCTGGTATTCCACTTTACCATCTCTGGGCCAACAAACTACAAGGGCTGTTTACTTTTTGGAATAGCTAGGTGGAATTGGGTTGGTACTCCTTTCTTTCACCCATCTTTTAATATAAAGACCCTTACTTACACATGAATAGAAGAGTATACAAGGAAGAAGTATAGCTCCCTTTTTATTTCTAGTAAGAGATTACAATGAGGATTGTATGTGTGTGACCTCTGTTCTTAGAAAAATGCCCCAAATTTATCATGATCATAGTAAAACAATGTTTTGCTTAAGGCTGCTTGGTCCTCATTGGGAATCGATATTCTATTACTCACGAAACCAGTCGCAAGTCGCTCCTGGTGTGAGAGAATTGGCCGTCTGCGAGGACGTCCAGGATACACCTGGATGTTTTGATGTTTTATCATTGTTGTGGGAGGCTTCTCTCATGTCCCCGAATGGGGAGCTGGAGCTGATTGAGGGAGTTCATCCACACTCTCCCAGGATTCAAACCTGTGACCTCTCAGTCTTCAGTCCTGTTGGCAAAGGGGTTTAGCCCACTTTTCCACCAGTGGCTCCCGGTGTTTGCAGTTTGTCAAGTCGCTCCTGACATGACAAAAAAACAAATAAACCAGTGCTTGTGCAATATCTACATTCAGCATCACAATTTTACAATTAGACTCTTGGTTTTGACAGTTCTGAAGTCTGTCTGGAATCAGGCTTGAAATGCTGTAACTCCCCTACAGCATAACACCTACTTGCCATCATTTCTCATTTATCCACTGCTATCTCAGTTTGTCTTCTACCTTCTTTAGTAGTTACTCCTCCACTGGTTTGAGAAGAGGAGAGTAAAGCCAACTGTCTGCTAAAGCGAGGGAAGATAAGCACAAAGGAGGCCTGCAATTCTATTATCTTTCTCTGATTTCTGCTGAGAAGTGTTAAAAATGATCATCAGTCACAGCCTGACTTATTCTTTGCAATGGTTGTTGGCAAAACAAAGAGAAGTCATGTAACACATTTCATAGAATCATAGAATAATTATTCAGTTATTCCAGCATCAGATTTGGGTGTACTCTGTAAGAACACAAATAAAAACTGTACAAGCTGCCACAGAGAACTTCCAATTTGTCCATTGTTTACAAAAATATTTTTTCCGCATTTAGTCCTATTTTGTGTGTGGTTGTGGGATAGCTTCTCTTGTACCCTCTCAACAGTAAGCGATAAAACCTCCAAAATAAATTATAGTGAGATATATTGTCGAAGGCTTTCATAGCCAGAATAACTGGGTTGTTGTAGGTTTTTTCGGGCTATATGGCCATGTTCTAGAGGAAAGAGGTTGTGTTCCATGCAGTCATAGATCCGGTGAGCCTGTGGTGTTTTGAAAGTCCTTTTGGCTGCGAGAAATTGTGGGATGGTATCTGTGTCTCTGCAGCGTAGAAGGAAAGTCAGGGAACACAGTAGATGTGCTTTCCTGGACCTTAGTTTTTCCAATTTTTGTGTGTCTTGGAACAGTTTCTTCCCTTAGAGATGTTCAATGTATTGTCGAAGGCTTTAATGGCTGGAATCACTGGGTTGTAGGTTTTTTCGGGCTATATGGTCATGTTCTAGAGTGAGAGACTTTTGAGCAGTCATTGAATCCGATAATGAATATCTACTGCACTGTGTGTCTTGGGAGGTTGCTAGAAATGGCAATATTTGTTGGTTTAGAACTTTTTTAAAAAAATCCAAACACCATTTTTGTTGTCCCAGACTATTTTCACTTTCTCTTTTGGGTATTTTTTGAAGTAGATTGCTCCTTGGTAACTATGTCAGCATGTCAAGTTTTTTTTTTAATTGGAGGGAGACTTCGGCCAATGATGAAAGATTTTGTTAGTGTGTTTTGGGTAGGTGTAAGAAAGTCTTGTGGTTGGTTTTCATATAACCCAGTGTCTTTATGCACATTGTATAGTTGCACAGTGATGTCAAGAAAGTGGACAGAGTATTCTAAGCAGAGTATTCTAAGCTCAAGGACAAGTTGTTAATTGTATGGTTTATTGTCAAAGGCTTTCATGGCCGGAATCACTGGGTTGTAGGTTTTTTTGGGCTATATGGCCATGTTCTAGAACATGGCCATATAGCCCGAAAAAACCTACAACAACCCAGTTGTATGGTTCTTTCTCAGATGCCTCATACCAGTGAGCTTAGATGTCATCAGTGTGTCAAGGGTAGAAAAATGGATTAGCATAAAGGCATTGACGCAGAGGCTGGATGGCTATCTGTGGGGGGTGCTTTGAATGCGATTTTCCTGCTTCTTGGCAGGGGGTTGGACTGGATGGCCCACAAGGTCTCTTCCAACTCTATGATTCTATGATTTACTAGCCGTCCCTTGCCATGCATTGCTGTGGCCCACATGGGAGTTCTGTGTGGGAGGTTTGGCCCAATTCTATCATTGGTGGGGTTCAGAATGCTCTGTGATTATAGGTGAACTATAAATCCCAGCAACTACAACTCCCAAATGTCAAGATTCTATTTTCCCCAAACTCCACCAGTGTTCACATTTGGGCATATTGAGTATTCATGTAGAGTTTGGTCTAGATCCATCATTGTTTGAGTCCACAGTTATCTCTGGGTGTAGGTGAACTACAACTCCAAAACCAAAGGACACTGCCCACCAAACCCTTCCAGTATTTTCTGTTGGTCATGGGAGAACTGTGTGCCAAGTTTGGTTCAATTCCATCGTTGGTGGAGTTCAGAATGCTCTTTGATTGTAGGTGAACTATAAATCCCAGCAACTACAACTCCCAAATGACAAAATCATAATTTTTGAGTGATGGTCACTCCTTGTGTTGTGAGATGTTTTGTTGCCAAATTTGGTGTGATTTTGTTCATTGGTTCTTTTGTTTTTAAGGTACTCATTATGCACAGAGCATTTATATATAGATAGAAAATAGAAAGATGTCGGTAATATTCAAAGACCAACTGCTGTATCCTCATTCAGATTTCACTTCAGCTGGGAATTTAATACACCTAGAATGCAATTTTTCGGGCACATTCTTCTCTGGCTCCTCCACCCGCAACAGAGATCTACCACACTGACCACCATGTACACAGCTTCCCTTATCAGTTAATTCAAAATCTTCAGTATTGTACAGTTCTGTTACAAACAAAGGATGGGCACCACAAGTTGTGTTTTGGCAAAGATGAGTCTCTTCCTGGTTTTTTGTTAGTTCTACATTCACACCAAACTAACCAATTCAAAACTGTTTCAAAGTTATTAATAAATAATTGTGTTGTGCTTTCTGAATGCTCAATGTTTCACACAATTATTTTGATACACAACTCTGGAAGATAGTCTGTAAACATCTGTGACTTGGGGAGGGAAGGGGAAATTGGTTAAATTATTATGGTGGGGGTGGGGTTCAGAATGCTCTTTGATTGTAGGTGAACTATAAATCCCAGCAACTACAACTCCCAAATGACAAAATCAATTTTTGAGTGAAGGACATACATTGGGTTGTTAGGTGTCTTGTGTCCAAATTTGGTGTCAATTCGCCCAGTGCTTTTTGAGTTCTGTGAATACCACAAACGAACATTACATTTTTATTTATATAGATTAAAATATTCCCATCCAAGCCCAAAATGGAGGCATTACTTTTCATTCAACCCTCATATTATACTCCAGAAACAGTTGCTGCTGACAGCTCAGGGCCCTGAGTCCACACAGCCATATAACCCAGAATATCAAGGCAGGTCATCCACAGTACCTGCTTTGAACTGGATTATTTATTTATTGTGTCATCAGCAGCCATTGTATTACAATTCTAACAGAGCAAAACAAACACACAGATTAAAAAGAAAAAAAAAACACACAGATTTTGCAAATTTGGTATTTGGTTAAATGTCCTTTGACCAGTATCTGGCCCCTTGGAGTGCCTCTGGGGTTGCCGCAAGAAGGTCCTCCATTGTGCATGTGGCAGGGCTCAGGTTGCATTGCAGCAGGTGGTCAGTGGTTTGCTCTTCTCCGCACTCGCATGTCGTGGATTCCACTTTGTAGCCCCATTTCTTAAGATTGGCTCTGCATCTCGTGGTGCCAGAGCGCAGTCTGTTCAGCGCCTTCCAAGTCGCCCAGTTCTGTGTGCCCAGGGGGGAGTCTCTCATTGGGTATCACCCATGGATTGAGGTGCTGGGTTTGAGCCTGCCACTTTTGGACTCTCGCTTGCTGGGGTGTTCCAGCGAGTGTCTCTGTAGATCTAAGAAAACTATGTCTTGATTTAAGTCGTTGACGTGCTGGCTGATACCCAAACAAGGGATGAGCTGGAGATGTCACTGCCTTGGTCCTTTCACTATTGGCTGCTACTTCCCTGCGGATGTCAGGCGGTGCAATACCGCTAAGCAGTGTAATTTCTCCAGTGGTGTAGGGCGCAGACACTCCGTGATAATGCGGCATGTCTCATTAAGAGCCACATCTGCTGTTTTAGTGTGGTGAGATGTGTTCCACACTGGGCATGCGTACTCAGCAGCAGAGTAGCATAGGGCAAGGGCAGATGTCTTCACTGTGTCTGGTTGTGATCCCCAGGTTGTGCCAGTCAGCTTTCGTATGATTGTTTCTAGCACCCACTTTTTGCTTGATGTTCAGGCAGTGCTTCTTGTAGGTCAGAGCACGGTCCAGAGTGACTCCCAGGTATTTGGGTGTGCTGCAATGCTCCAGTTGGATTCCTTCCCAGGTGATCCTCAGAGCTCGGGATGCTTGTCTGTTCTTAAGGTGAAAAGCACATGTCTGTGTTTTAGATGGATTAGGGATCAGTTGGTTTTCCCTGTAATAGGCAGTAAGAGCACCTAGAGCTTCGGAGAGCTTCTGTTCAACCATCTCAAAGCTCCCTGCTTGAGCAGTAATGGCACGATCATCAGCATAGATGAAACTCTTTGTCCCTTCTGACTCCCAGAAATCCTCGCAGCCTCAGGCCCCTTCATTTTGAACTGGATTATCTGAGTCCACAGTGACATATAATCCAGTTCAATGTGGATTTTATACAGCTCTGTGGAAAGGGCTCTAAGAGGCCAACATTTACAACAGAGCTCTTCACCTGTATATAAAGACAACCTGTGGAAGGATGCCTCACTGTCAGCCATCTTGCTCAGAAGATCCATTGGCTTGACATCAAAGCCAAAAACGTCCCCCTAGCGCCCCCTGGAGGCGCTCAGTGGATGCGGACATTAGAGGCCGTTTGACAAGAGAGAATGAAAGCCGGCCCTCGTGCGCCCAGCTCTCCAGCCAATGACACGCCCGGAACGACAGGCGCGCCCCGCCCCCGCACCGCTCCCAGCCACTCCTGCGAAAGGAATAGAGGCAAAGCTTCCCGCCCACTTGGCGTCGGACTACCCTCACGCCACTCCGCCCTGCCCTAAGCTTCCCGGGGGACGGCTCTCATTGGGTGAGAACGGGAGGGGGCGTGGCTTGAGGGGAGGGGCGTGGCTTGAGCGAGGTTGCTTTCCACAGCCGGCTCCATCGCCCTGCTTTCGGTGTCTTGGCGCGTCCTTCGAGACAGGCAGCCATGCAGAAGGTGGCCGTCGTCACTGGGGCGAGCAGGTGAGGGAAAAGGCGGGAAGAGGCCTCCTCCTCCTGTCATGAACTTTGGTGTATTAGGAACCTACTGGCAGGCATGGGCAAACTTTGGTCCTCCAGGTGTTTTGGACTTCAACTCCCAGAAATCCTCGCAGCCTCAGGCCCTTTGTTGAGTTGAAGTCCAAAACACCTGGAGGACCAAAGTTTGCCCATGCCAACATAATAGTATAGCCATACAATCAGTTGAAAGGATCCAGAGTGAATGGGAGACAGGATGCTGAACTGACTGGACCTTTGGGCTGAATCAAGCAGCCACCCATTGCTTTTTGGACCTCCAACTCCCATAATTCCTGACCATTTAACAAGATGGCTAAGGCTTCTGGGAGTTGGAGGCCCACACAGCTGGAGGACGCCTTATCACCTTGAAGTGGAAATAGTTGGCAAAGAGAAGCATCCCACCTGAAACCCTGTGGCTGACTCTTTCCTACAGGATTCTGGGTCTTGTAGTTTAGTGAGTCCCAGGACCTTTCTGGCTGAGCATTTCAAAGGCTCCCTTAAGGATTCCAATGATAGCAATTCAACACTTTACGTTCGGCCCTCTTATCATCCACCTCAACACTTTGATGACACTATTCCCAGTCCTGTCTACTTGATCTTTGCGCCTTCCTTGCGCTCTTCGTCAGGATGTATTGCACTCATGGAGCCTGAACCTCAGCAATTTTTTTCTCAGCCATATTGTGTGATATTGTTTACAATTGTGTTTGTTTTTATATTTTATCTCATGTTTAAATCGTGTGTTCTATTTGTAATTTTTTGGCTTGTCCCTTGTACGCCGGCCCCGAGTCCCCTTGGCCAGGGTATAAACATAAAGTTATTATTATTATTATTATTATTATTATTATTATTATTATTCTACCAAGCTTGCAAACTTTGTGTTTTGTCTGTCTGTCTGTCTGTTTGTTTGTTTTGTTAAAAATGTAATACAAATGTCTGGTTGCTCCTGACATGATAAATAAATATTATTATTATTATTATTATTAGAAACACAACAAGATGAGTCCACAGCAGACACTCTGCTGGCTGTTGTATTGGATCACACTTCCGAAGTGTCTAGGACTGTGTGATGTATCGGCGAATAATGCGTGCAGATCCCAGTAAGGTGGCCTTCTGCAGCTGGTAATTTTGTCAGCGCCGATTGTGTTTAAGTGCAGGCCAAGGTCTTTAGGCACTGCACCCAGTGTGCCGATCACCACTGGGACCACCTTGACTGGCTTGTGCCAGAGTCTTTACAGTTCGATCTTTAAATCCTCATATTATGTCAGCTTTTCCTGTTGTTTCTCTGCAATCCTGCTGTCACTTGGGATTGCGACATTAATAATAATAATAATAATAATAATAAGCCTGAAGAAGAGAAGGCTGAGAGGAGATATGATAGCCATGTATAAATATGTGAGAGGAAGCCACAGGGAGGAGGGAGCAAGCTTGTTTTCTGCTTCCCTGGAGACTAGGACGCAATGGAACAATGGCTTCAAACTACAAGAGAGGAGATTCCATCTGAACATGAGGAAGAACTTCCTGACTGTGAGAGCCGTTCAGCAGTGGAACTCTCTGCCCCGGAGTGTGGTGGAGGCTCCTTCTTTGGAAGCTTTTAAACAGAGGCTGGATGGCCATCTGTCAGGGGTGATTTGAATGCAATATTCCTGCTTCTTGGCAGGGGGCTGGACTGGATGGCCCAGGAGGTCTCTTCCAACTCTTTGATTCTATGATTCTATTATTATTATTATTATTATTATTATTATTATTATTATTATTATTATTATCACACAGAGGAGAGCCATTGCTGTATACAGGTAGTCCCCAAGTTATGGACAAGATAAGTTCTCTGGGTTTGATCTTAAGTTGACTTTGTATGTAAGTCAGAACAGGTACATTATAAAGTGTAACTTCATCTATCCATCTATTATCAATCAATCTATCTATCTATTTATAGCATAGGGAGGGGGTTAACACCCTTGTAGTGTACCTTCTGCTGTCTATTGTTGAAGGCGTTCATGACCGGAATCACCGGGTTGTTACAGGGTTTTTTGGGGGGCTATATGGCCATGTTCTAGAGGCATTCTCTCCTGACGTTTCACCTGCATCTATGGCAAGCGTCCTCAGAGGTTGTGAGATCTCACAACCTCTGAGGATGCTTGCCATAGATGCAGGCAAAACGTCAGGAGAGAATGCCTCTAGAACATGGCCATATAGCCCGAAATAACCTACAGCAACCCATTTTGCTGTCTGTTTTGCTGTCCGGAAGATTTCACCTCACTTTCTGTCCCAGTCATAACTGAATTTTGACAAATTTGGCTTGTTGTGTAAACAAGACCTGGGGCTGAAGCTTCAGTTGAGTCGCTTTTCTCCATAATAATAACTCTTCCAGGAGTGAATTTCCCTTCCCAGGGGTAGATTTCTCTCACGTCCTCTTGTTTAACCCCTGTTATTAACTATGAGTTGATTAGGAGCCCTTTCACACAGCTGTATAAAATCCACATTAAACTGGATTATATGGCAGTGTGGACACAGATAATCCAGTTCAAAGCAGATATTGTGGATTATCTGCCTTGATATTCTGGGATATATGGCTGTTTGGAAGTGCCCTAACTTGGGGACTGCCTGTATTTTCAGGAGGGATTAACATATCTTAGTGTACATTCAGATGAAGATGTATTATCAAAGGCTTTCATGGCTGGAATCACTGGGTTGTTGTATGTTTTTTGGGCTATATGGACATGTTTTAGAAGCATTCTCTCCTTACGTTTTGCCTGCATCTGTGGCAAGCATCCTCAGAGGTTGTGAGGATGCTTGCCATAGATGCAGGTGAAATGTCAGGAGAGAATGCTTCTAGAACATGGCTATATAGCCCAAAAAACCTACAACAACCCAGTCAGGTGAAGTCTTTGATACTTTTGAAATCCTCTTCTGGCTGTCGTTTGCAACTCCAGTGTCCAGCGTACAGTTCATTTTGTGAGAAAACCCTGGGGGTTGGTGCTCATCTCCATTTCTAAGCCAAAGAGCCAGCGTTGTCTGTAGACACCTCCAAGGTCATGTGGCTGGAATGACTGCATGGAATGCCGTTATATTCCTTCCGAAGCGGTACCTATTGATCTCACATTTGCATGTTTTCGAACTACTAGGTTGCCAGAAGCCGGGGCTGATAGCGGGACTTGAAACTTGCAACCTTTCCATCAGCAAGTTCAGCAGCTCAGCGGTTTAACCCACTGTGCCACAGGGGACTCTTTATTGTGGATTAGCTGCCTTCATACTCTGGAATATATTGTTGTGTGGAAGGGTGTCTTTTGTGCTGCTTGCATCTGGTTGATAGGATGTCTCTACATTCATTTATATCCATCTTATAAAGAGACAGTGATTGCTTTGTTACATTTTTTCCAGACTTTTTAACTACCCTTTGTTAATTTGAAATTAGGTGTCCTTATAAGTATCTGAAAGAGAAATGTGATTTAGGTATAATATATTTTTGTAATAAATAATCTTCCTTATGATTTCAAATTTGTCCATTCTCTCAATTTCTTCAAAATGTATCTAAAGATCAAATTATAAATGTGTTATATTATTGTTGACCCTCCACATTAGTGGATTTAACTTTTGTGGATTTCTTTATTTGCAGATTTGATTCATATCTTCTTTGTAGGAATCTTGGGGACCTCCAGCTTGATTCTGTGGGCTACTTCTACTGGAAACTGACTCTATAATTGTGCCAGAGAGCCTAGAAATTCTTAGAGAGATAATGCTTTTTGTAGAGTTTACTCTGTGTTTCTAGGATGCCTCCTATACTGTCATATAATACAGATTATCAAAGCAGATAATTCATTTTATCTGCTTTGAACCGGATTATATGAGTCGATATTGCCATATCATCCCGTTCAATTCAGATAATCTAGATTTTATATGGCAGTGTAGAAGGGCCCATGATCAACTTCTGACGTAGGGATTTCTAAAAAAGCATTTTCTCATCTGGTAAAAATGAGCATTTAAAAAAATTCACTGTTTTTCCACATACACTGCGGTCCTTTGTCACTAACCCCCACACAAATGGAGGGCTTAATTGTAGTATTTTTAGTTCATATAGTGGACCCTTGATAGCCATCGGGACTTTGGCTATTTTTCTCTTTTTTTCCTGCCTTCTCTCCTTTCTTTTCCCTTTCTCTTCCTCCCCACTCTGCCATACTGCCCTGTTCCCAGTTCCATCTTTTTGTTTCTGTTTCTTAATTTATTTTTTTCTTCCCTTCTTTTCTCTGCTCCCCTATCCCCCTCTCTCCTTCCCATCTCCTTTTTTCTTTTTATCTTTCCTTCATAGTAAAATGGTGTCCTTTATATGAAATGAAGAGATTAAGGTTTGCTTTTTTGGAATTGTGTTTTGGGATATTTTCAAGCAGTAGGTGGTATGTGCGTGTATGTGTACATGTGTGTGGTGTATGTGTGTGTATATGTAATCAATCAGCAATATTAGTGTCCATAAGCAATCTCTGAGCCTCTCATGGCCCAGTTTGTTGAGACAAAAGCAAAACAGTTCAAGGGAATTGTTATTTTTATGTAATCGAAAATACTCATTGGCTATGATCACAAGATTGTACCCACATAAACATTAGCATATTGGTTACTAATCAGCTGCTGGTGCATATGCTGGTGCACACTTCTTTATTGTGTCTGCTTGAAGTTGTTGTCATTTATATTAATTTCTGCTTATGCCGGCCCTTTTAACCCTATCGTGGGGTTTCTTCGGCAAGATTTCTTCCATGGGAGTTTGTCTTCGCCTTCTTCTGAGGCTGAGAGAATATAACTTACCCGAGACAACCCAGTGGGTCTCCATTACTGAGCAGAGATCAAAACCATAGACTTCAAAGTTATAGTGCAATTCTCAAACTACTATTGTGATGACTACCTCTGCTTGCAATAGGAGCAGCTAAACAAATAATACATGTCATGTTTTCTGAATGCAGTTTTCTGAGTTGTTTTGCTGATAGCTAACCACAGAAAGATTTGTTGTTTGGTTTACAGTTCTTTAGTGTGTTAGAAGAGAAACAAACCAAAGAGTGCCTGCAATCATATGTCACAGCAACAAACTGCTGAGTGAAGCTGAAAAAGTTGATGAGTTCAGCAATGAGTCACTTGAATTGCTCATTGAAAAAAATACACAAACAGTTATTTAGTTTTGTTAGATGTAGTAGTTTCAGCATTATATTATGAAAAATCTGCCTTTTTGTATTGTCTTTCTTTCTTTTTTTCTGAATAAATATATATTTTAAAATCACAATTGTAAAGAAAGATTAGGACTGGTTTATCATCTTTTCACAGCAACAGTGGTGCAAATTTCAACTACTGAATTTATTAATTAGACAAGGAATGCTATTAAAAGTAGAACCATGGTGATATAGTGTTATCTAAAGGGAGCTGGATTTTAAAAGGGTAAAAATTAACAGGCAATGAGTGTGAGCTATGTAGAAAGTCCTAGTAGTTGTGTGGCTAGTATTTGTTTATTAATGTAAGTAAGTTTGAGATTATTGTGTTTGGTTTAAGATTTAGTTTTATTGAATGCAGTAATTTTCCATTTTAACTTTACATTTGGCCTTCCCACTGTTTTTAATTGCATTGTTGTCTTATTGATAATGTTGTATATTTTATTGTCTATGTTTTATTTTAATTGCTTGTACTATTGTTGTTTTGCTTGTATTGTTGTATTCGCGCTCGGCCTCATGTAAGCCGCACCGAGTCCCTTGGGGAGATGGTAGCGGGGTACAAATAAAGTGTTGTTGTTGTTATTATTATTGTTGTTGTTATTATCATTATATATTATGGGGAAAATTACATGTGGGAGCTGGGTGGTCAGCTGACGGGAGGAGAGTGTCTGATAATCTTTTGTTTTTAAAATTGAACTTAAGTGACATCTCAGCCATTTATAATGTAGGATCCCATTCCTGATTTTTCACTTCTTTCCTAGTTCTGTTGTTTTGATGCAGCTTTGTTATCCAGTATGTTTCCCAGCATATATTCTGCTTTTTGAGTTGGGAGATGGATGCCCACAGGAAGATAATAAATCCATTAGGACAATGGTTCTCAACCTATGGGTCCTCAGATGTTTTGGCCTTCAATTCCCAGAAATCCTAAGAGCTGGTAAACTGGCTGGGATTTCTGGGAGTTGTAGGCCAAAACACCTAGGGACTCACAGATTGAGAAACACGGCGTTAGGGGGACAACTTGCAGTGGAAGTGGGGGAGAGAGAGATACTATAGTTCTGAATGCAAAAAAAGTAAGAACAATACAATATTTAAAACAGTTTTAAGCAACATAAATTTGCCAGTATTTCAATGGGAAACGTGGGCCTGCTTTGACTGATGAGATAGTCAAGTTAAATAGGATTGTTGTTGTCGTGTGTCTTCAAGTTGTTTCAGATTTAGGGTGGCCTTAAGCCTAAAGTTTAGGGCAGGAGTGGGCCTTGGAGGGTCACATCCAGCCCGTGGACCTTAGTTTGTGGACCCCTGTTCTAGATCTTTCCTTGGAGGACTTGGCACGTATTTGATGAGGATACACAAAAAATTATACCATCATCCTTTCTCAATTGCTAAATTTCTGTGCAAGATGCTCAATATTTCTTGAGTTTGCATTTGGTGTTTTCCATCATTTGTTAAAATAATTTTGAAGTATTTTTCTTTTGTATTATGAAGTCCAGAATAAATACATTTTTGGTTGACTTTTAACAGTCCAGTCTTAATATGTGCAATAGAGATACACAGATTTGGTCATCTGGCCCTGTATATATGTCCCTTGCGTGAGTTTGGTAATTTTCAGACGTCTTGGGGGCTTCATTAAATACATTAAGAATGTAACTGACGATCCTTCTACATTGCCATATAATCCAGATTATCAAAGCAGTTAATCTACATTATCTGCTTTGAACTGGATTATATGAGTCTATACTGTCATATAATCCAGTTCTTCTAAGTAGATATTCTGGATTTTATATGGTAGTGTGTTGTTGTTGTTTATTCGTTTAGTCACTTCTGACTCTTCGTGACCTCATGGACCAGCCCACGCCAGAGCTCCCTGTCGGCCATCACCACCCCCAGCTCCTTCAGAGTCAAGCCAGTCACTTGAAGGATACCATCCATCCATCTTGCCCTTGGTTGACCCCTCTTCCTTTTTCCTTCCATTATTGCAGTATAGAAGGGGCCTATTTTACTTTTCTGCAACCAGTTTATAGTCACATCACAAGGAGGCTCCTCAGAGCCAGAAGACTTCACCAGCAGGCAGTTCATCCTGTCTGTGATGTAACCATAGAAAATTATCTCAACTGTGCAGCCGGGGTCTCTACTTTCTCTATTCATTGGAAACTTGTAGGGAATTGTCTCTCCCATCCCATCCCCAGAAATGTGTGAATTCCATAGAAGGGATTGATCACAGCTTGTTTCTTTTTGTCTGCAACAAATTCCAGGTGTCCAGCTTGATTCTCAGTGCCTTAACCATGTGTTGTTACTATTACAGTGGGATTGGTTTTGCACTGTGTACGCGCCTCCTCCAAGAAGATGCCAGCCTCCATATATGCTTAGCTTGCAGGAACATGGAGAAGGCCAATGCAACTCGTAACAAACTGTTGTCCAACTTCTCCAAAGTAGACATCAGCATTGTTCAAGTAGATGTGGGCAAGCTGGACTCTGTCCTGCACGCAGCAAAAGAGATCAAGTTAAGGTACGTGAAAAGGCATTTAGATGAGTTTCCTGATGCTCAGTAGAGTTTCTCTCTTCCTTGTCCATTCAAATTGTTTCCCAAGGTTTTCAGACTCTGCCAATATTACAAGTTTTTGCTATGAAGCCACGACCTTGGATTAATTTCAGAATAGTATCCATCCACTTGTAGCAAACATATTGCCTAAAAGGTTACTCTTTTAAAGACAGAACTAGATATTCTCATGCCCACCATTTTCCCTGAAAACACATAGATGGGAACCTTGAGTGAGGAAAAATAACTTGGAAAAATAACTTGGAATGGCTTCTTGGTGCCCAAGTCCTACACTGTGATTTGCCGCCAAAATTTACTTTTGCCTTGATTATGAACTAAGCAACCCCAAGCTCTATCATATCTAGGTTTATACCATGGTGGATTTGTATCTGCTAGATGGCACATACACATAATTCTTTGCTTAAGAAGTATAATAATCAAGGTTACAGCAAGCGTCCTGCCACTGTATCCAAATATATTTGGAAGAAATCTTGCTTACCTTCATTAGATTGGGGGCCAAAACCGTTCAGAGAATGTACCATGTAGTAATACACAATGTCTTAAACCAAGTTGAGTTGTTACAACAAACAGAATAAAGTAGCAAAATATTTCCAACTCTAGCTAGAAATCCAATATTTATATACTCTCATATGATAACACTTTTGGAAAAAGAATATAAGCATGCGAGGGAGAGTGGTTTCCCCTGCCCTCCTGATATAAGAGGGTTTTTTTGTGTGTGGAAATGTTCAAGTGGGAGAGAGATCACTCTGACATGCACTGAAACTCTTTGCCAACAACTTGAAATAATACTGTTGAAGACAAATTTGATCCTTCAGTTTGGCCCCAAACTTCCTGCTAAAGAAGTATGTGGAAAACCACACTTTATATTATATTTTGTTTATTTGTCTGATTAATTTTTTAACTGCCTTGTAAAGACTACAGTCTTCCAGAGATGGCTTACAATATTAAGCAGTTCTGGTGTTCTTTGTCTTTCTCTACTTACTATAACTTGGTGTCGTTTTCACTGCGGCATTGCAGATATTGCAATAACCAAGTGTCACTTTCCTTGTGTAGATTTCAACGTTTGGATTATCTTTTCTTGAATGCCGGGATCATGGTAAATCCACGTGTCAGTTTCTGGGCATTTTTACAAGGCATCTTCTCCAGGTATTATATAACTCTCTGGTTAGTTGCTCTTTCCTTTCCTTCTGGCATTGTGGATGGGAGGGAAGGATTCAAAAGACATTTCAGGACAGAGGACCGTGGCCAGTTTTCTGTCTTGGAAACTTAAACCCAGGTTTTAGGTCATGAACCTCTCTCTGAGACAGAATCTTGCAATGTGATGCTTTCTACTATGTAGGGAGCCTGGTGTGACTTGAGATTGCCCTCTGCATTTCTGTTTCCTTTGCTACACATGTATGCAGTATAAGCATATAAGCTAGTAGACTATTCACAGAAGTCTACAAATCTGAGTGTTATATAAATACTTGTTTTTCATAGGCAAAAAGCATACTGTGAATTAAGCAAGGACTGGAGAGGCAGTAACATTGGCCTCTCCTATTGCCCCTCCACCCCAAAAAAGCCAAGACCAGCAATGGACTGTTAAACTCTGGGCTTCTGTTGCTAAAGAACTTCTGCTCTTTCTCCCTGCATCTTGAAGGCATGGCTCATGCATAGAAGAGACACAGGGGAGGCCTCTTCCAGAGCTTTTTCTGTTTCAGATCACACTTAGCTTAGGCGTATGGAGAAGACATGGCCCTTTGTCTGTGTCTCAGCTGGAAAAAAGTGCTTGAGGGCCGCAATAATAATAATAATAACAGTAATAATAATAATGCTTTATTTATACCCCACTCCATCTTCCCCAGGGGGACTCGGTGCGGCTTACATGAGGCCATGCCCATCAATACAATACAAGCTATAACAAAAACACAATAAAACAAGCAAAATACATAAAATGCAAAATCAAAATAATATACAACACAACAATATAAAATTAAGCATTAAAAACACAGGAAATGTCACTAGGCAGGGCCAGATGCATGGATAAAATTATAGAAAATATTAAAAACACTGGGAGATAGGGCAGAGTAACTTATAAGGAGGAGGCTCCAGGAATGAGGAAAGATTTCATTGCACAACCCATAAAGTAAAGTGCGTCTAAGGACATTTTGTGCAAAGTGTGGTCAGGGAGAATCTTTCATTCAATCACTGAAGGCACATTGGAATAACCAGGTTTTCAAATTCCTCCTGAAGATTGCCAGTGTGGGGGCTTGTCTAATGTCTCTGGGAAGTGAGTTCCAGAGCCGGGGGACCACCGCAGAGAAGGCCCTCTCTCTCGTCCCCGCAAGTCGTACTTGCAATGTGGGGTGGGGGCTCTCCGGAAGATCGAAGGGATCGTATGGGTTTGTAGGTGAAAATACGGTCGCGCAAAAAAAAGGAGAAAGTTTTTAGTATGTATACAAAACTTTTATGAGTTAGATTAGACTTCCAATAATGTGTCTAGAGTAGCAGAAACGCAGTGTTTGCTATAACCCTTCCACTCCTAATATGACACCCAGTGTCATTTACAGGAAACCAATTCAGGCCTGCCACTGGATAAATACCTTCTCCCTTGCATCTTCTTCATGTCTCCTTGCAGATGGGTTTCTCTTTCCATAGCTTACTATCTTTTCCTCAAGGGCAGCAGCTAAACTGACCATGAGCTACAAAGCAAAATATCACCTTTTTCAGAAGGTTACCTAGCTATGATTCGTATCCAGTTCATTGACAAATTTACGTTGGATGTTTGCAATGTTTAAAAAGGTGGTACCTAAAAAAAATCACCAGCAGTATTTTTAATTCTACTGAAAGTTGTGTAACTGTTTTAGTTTATGGGGTGGGATATAAATAAAGATATTAATATTATGGGTCTTAAAGTAAATCAGAGGCATAGGGAGGGTGTCCAAAGTACTCATTTGCTAGACTTATAGCAGTTCTGATACAATATCTTTCTCTTGAGTATGATGAAGATTATTTTCTTGTCTCAATTTTCCATATCATTTTCACTACAAACTATTGCTCATAGCTTTCATGGTCTTACATTACCTTCTTGCTCACATTTTCACCATTCTATGAGCACCCTTCTGGCTGAACCAAAGATTTCTCTTTCTCTAAGTTGAATTCCCAAGTGCTCTCCTATCCAAACATTGACCAGACCCAATCCTCTGTAGCTACAGTGATGGAACATCCTCAAGTGGAACAAAATGAAACAAAGTCCTCTTATGCCCAGTATGTGCTGCTTCATGTGCAATATGGGAACTACATTTTGCCTTGCTTTTATATAGCAAGCTTAATTTTCATAGTGTGCATAACAGTCTTCATCTTGTTTGTCCTAATGATGAGCTTCAGGGTAGGTTTCCCCTGATTTATTGCTGAGGAATTAATCACTACATCTCGTTCCTTATCCTAAGTATTGGTTGTGTAACAATCTCTTTGACAGAAGCATGGAGACCTGCTTCTGCATCTGCTGTATACTCTACTAGCCCAAGCTGTAGAGTGGTAGATATTCTACAGATTGCACGTCACTGATGCCTGTAGGAAAAATGGACATTGAGCCATAAGTACCATCCCTTACACCACAATAATCCCCAAGTATCAGCCACAGTGGGGTTTTTTTTTTAAAGAAATCCCTGTTCTAAAACAGCAGAGGCTATCCATTTCACTTGCTTCGGCTTCCCCTCTGCAGTCTAGGGATTCAGTTAAAAAACTTTGAAATTCTAACCCTGATTTTATGTTTACACTGTTAAAAAAACTCAAAAAGAGCCTGGTTGAATGTGATGAATGGTCCTTCTAGTTTAGTGTGAGTCATGCAATTGTTCAGAGGATGTTGGACTTCAGCTCCCAGCTAATCCTCCCCATTTAATGATCCTTTTATAATGGCCAGCTAGGTGCTTCCAGAAAACTCAACTAGCATGAATATTGCAATTTAAAAGCCAATTGACTGTTCAACATGTCAAGTAAAAGTTCCTCCAGAATTCTTATCTCATCTTCGTAATTCTCACTATAGTCTTATCAAAGGGTCTTTTTTGCCTTAGTAAATCGGCATTACTATAGGAATTGTATTTAGTGACCGTCCTCTTTTCCACAAAATGAGCATTGCACTTTTGTCCTTTTTTTCAGGAAAGCTCTCACGATGCTGACCACAGCTGAGGGCCTGATGAGCCAGGATGACAGGGTCACTCCAGATGGCCTACAAGAGGTCTTTGCAACAAATTTATTTGGACATTTTGTACTGGTATGGACATTTTAATCTCCTAAAAGTGTTATATATCTAAGTGATTATACACATACTATGTTGATTTGGTGTATAATCAGTCATTCGACATCATGATCGTGGTAGAATATTACCCAGAATACGAGAGCTAAAAATGAGTAGGGGTAAGACAGTACGCATAGGACTTTCTTGCGTTGTCTGTCACTGCAATTCCAATCTTAGAATTGGAAGAGACCACAAGGCCCATCCAATCCAACCCAACCCCCTATCACTCTTCAAGGCATTTTAATATGCTGAGTGGAAATGGTGGAAGAGAGAATTTGAGCTTGTTTGACTGAAGGCACTAACAAGTAGGATGCCGAAATATTACTTCTTTGGATTGGAACAGCATCCTCACACTCCAGCCCTTCAGCTGTTTGGTCCTCCAACTCACAGAATTCCTGACCACTGAACAATCTGGCTAAGGCTTCTGGGAATTGGAGGCCCAAATAGCTGGAGGGCAAAGGTTTGAGGAGGCCTGGACTAGAATGCCTAGAACCAGCAGCTGGTGGGTTCTGGAAGCTTACCAGTTCAGATGGAGCTTGCATTGTGGACTACTGGGAAAACACCTGCTGCTGTTTATTAAAATGAGTCGTTTCCCTAAAGTCTGAATAGGTCATCTCTCTCTTCTTTCTTAGTAAGATTGGCCTATTCTGCAGCATTGTGCAATCTAATATTGTTTTAATGATTGTTTTATTGCTCATGGATGTATTTTTTAATTTGATGTATGTCTAATTGTAGTGTATAATTGTAATTGTTTGTACTGGCATTGAATTTTTTCCATGACTTGCGTGTAAACTGCTTTGAGTCCCCCTCGGGGTGAGAAAAGCAGGATACAAATACTGTAAATAAATAAATAAATAATATTTAGAGTGTTAACCTGTCTCTCTTTCACAATCAGATGTTTGCTTAACAGAGTATTAAAAGCTGGGTTTGTGTTTACTAAAATTTCTGTCTAACTTCAGAAAGTTATTATTATTTATTTATTTATTTACTTTGCTTATATACCGCTGTATCTCAAGCCCGAAGGCGACTCACAGCGGTTCACAAACAGTAAAAACAGTAGAAACAGCAGTGGTTCCATACAACATATAACAATTGACTTAACACATTATCCATAAATTACCAATAAGCAATTACAATGCACAATTATTATGAAAAACAACTGTACCCAATCTTCTCATCATCCAAGCGTAGTCCAGGTTCGTCGTCCATTGTTCCATTCCTATATTCCATTACCAGATTGCACTAAATTACTCAAACGCCTGCACAAACATCCAGGTCTTCACCTTTTTGCGGAATACCATTAGAGATGGTGCTAGTCTAATGTCGTAGGAAGGGCGTTCCACAGCCGAGGAGCCACCACCGAGAAGGCCCTATCTCTCGTCCCCGCCAGCCGAGCTTGAGAAGCAGGCGGGATCGAGAGCAGGGTCTCCCCGGAAGATCTCAAAGTCCTGGTGGGTTCATAGGCAGAGATGCGGTCAGATAGGTAGCTTGGGCCGGAACCGTTTAGGGCTTTAAAGGCCAACGCCAGCACTTTGAATTCAGCCCGGTAGCAGATCGGTAGCCAGTGGAGTTGGCGCAACAGGGGGGTTGTATGCTCCCTGCACTCCGCTCCTGTTAAAATCATGGCTGCCGAGCGTTGGACTAGTTGGAGCTTCCGAGCTGTCTTCAAAGGCAACCCCACGTAGAGAGCGTTGCAGTAGTCTAAACGGGATGTAACCAGAGCGTGGACTACCGTGGCCAAGTCAGACTTCCCAAGGTACGGGCGCAGCTGGCGCACAAGCTTTAGACTTGATTCTCATTGCTACTTCTTCCTTCCATCAAGTAATTCCTGTAATTAATCATCAATCAATTGCTGTAATTAATATTTTTCATTATGAGGGTCTCCTAAAGACCTCCAAGCCAAACCAAGGTCTTGAATGATGTCTTCCTTGAACAGATGACCACACATTCAGAAAAGAGGGATGTAGTAACGGGAGACTTTGATTATCCTGATATTTGAGGAAAGCAAGCTCTGCCAAAAATATCAGGTGCAATAAATTCCTTGCTTGCTTTGCAGACAGTTCCCATTCTCCAGAAGTAGGAAGAAACAACAAAGGAATCATCAACATTAAATCTGACTCTAACTGACTTGATAAATGGTGTGGAAATGGTGGGTTCCTTAAGCAGGAAGGAACATGCCATGTTGTTTTAGAGCAGTGGTTAGCAAATGTATGGTATGCATTCCAGAAGGGGCCCGCAGGGCCCTTTCTCCTGGTGCGTATTCCATCCCCTCGCTGCCCTCAATTTGAGCACTGTCTCTAAAAGGTTTGTCATCACTGTTGTATACTTTAAGAAAGCCTATTTCAATCAACCTAGGGGAGAATATAGCATGGTCACATGATCAGGAATCCTAAAAGCAAAAAGAGTTCATGGTGGATGGGAATTTAGAAGAGTATCCTTTAGGAGTCAGAAGTGGAAATATATATGGTAATAATACCGACACGTGGAAGAAATGGACAAAGGGAGACATCACCAAAGAGGAATTCAAATGAATAGCCAGCATGTGTAGGGAGAAAGTTAGATAAGTCAAACACAGATTGAGTTCAGGCATGGCTAGAGAGGTTAATACCAATTAAAAGGGCTTTTCTGATTATGTCTGTAGCAAAAGGAAGAACAAGGAAATGGCAGGGCCACTGCGTACAGGGGATGGCAAAATACTGCCAGGGACAAATAAAAGGCAGCACTACTCAACACCTTCCTTGCCCCAGTCTTTTCCCAAAAAGGTAAACAGTGCTCATCTTGGAATTATTGGAGCAGATGATACAGCAGGAGAACTGCAGCTTAGAATGGATAAAGGAGCAGTATAGGGATTTCTGCCTATTTTAAATAAATTCAAGCCTCCAGGACCAGATGAATTACACCCAAGGATATTAAAAGAATTGGCAGAAGAAATTTCAGAACTACTAGTAATAATCTTTGAGAAGTTCCAGAAGACTGGAGGAAGGCAGAAGTTGTCGCCATCTTAAAAAATAATAATCAGTTAAACTCCTAATTATGTATGCATAACAATACATTTTATCTTCAGTCATACTTTTTCTTATGTAGAAAACAGTCACACTAACACGATTCCTTGGGACAACATCATCAATAGGAGGCCCTTGGCCAATCTTTGCAGGCGTTATCCACTCTGCCAGAATGTGTGTGATGTTAAAATCGCCCAACATGCTTCAAATCTGACCACATTTGTTCATAGCATCAGATGTTGAATCGACTTGGATCCTAATAAAAACCTTTTTGTTGTCGCTGTTTCTAGATTAGACAGCTGGAACCTCTGCTTTGTTGTATGGAAGCACCCTCCCAGCTTGTCTGGACTTCCTCAGTCAATGCCCATAAGAGAAACTTCAGTCTTGATGACTTCCAACACAGTAAAGGCACAGAGGCCTACAGTTCCTCTAAATATGCTACAGACCTCACAAGTGTGGCTTTAAATAAGCACTTCAACATGCGGGTAAGAATTCGTGTTATCAGGCTCCTTCCTGCTCAGGGCCTCCAGATGTTTTTATTCCTTGAGCTTGGCTGTGAAAATTATGGCATGGAGATATTCTGGTATCTTGAACACACCAGATACAGATCCATGACATACTTCCCCCTCCTAAAAAAAGAGCCTTAATGAAACTAACTGGTGATCATCTTTGGTTATATTTTTCCCATTCACATGAATAAAGAGCAGAGAGGATGCTGGTAAGGTGAACACGCCTACAAAAGCTTCTTTATCTGGTATCATTTTACATACCAAGCACAAACCACATTTGAGTGTTGATTTTTGTGTCCACAGGGTTCATTTCTCACTCTTGTTTCTTCCTTTTTCTCTCTAAATAGAGCTTGTATTCTACTGTCGTATGTCCAGGTGTCGTGATGACCAACATGACGTATGAAATTCTGTCGCCCTTTCTTTGGAAGCTGCTTTTCCCCATCCTATGGTTGGTGCGTATGATGGCCTTCTGAAGTAGTAGTATGCCCTAAAACAGTGGTTCTCAACCTGTGGATCCCCAGGTGTTTTGGACTTCAACCCCCAGAAATCCTAAGAGCTGGTAAACTGGCTGGGATTCCTGGGAGTTGTAGGCCAAAATACCTGGGGACCCACAGGTTGAGAACCACTGCCCTAAAGTACTGTATATACTCGAGTATAAGCCTAGTTTTTCAGTCCTTTTCCCGGCTTATACTTGAGTCAATGTTATTTATTATTTTACTTTGTTGTTGTTGTTGTTGTTATTATTATTAGATTTATTAGATTTATTATTTTATTATTGTTGTTATTATTACATTTATTATTTTACTCTATTTATTGTTATTGTTACATGTATTATTTTACTCTATTATTATTGGAGGACATGTAAGCATATTTACATTGAAGGTTAGAATAGTGGTTTAATCAGAGTTGGACAGTCTTATCTTGAATTACAGTTTTATGTAAATATTCAAAAACATTTAACCTACTAATGCCTAAATTAATATAATTTTATTGGTATCTATTTTTATTTTGAAATTTACTAGTAGCTGCTGCATTTCCCACCCTTGGCTTATACTCAAGTCAATACATTTTCCCAGTTTTTTGTGGTAAAATTAGGTGCCTTGGCTTATATTCGGGTCAGCTTGTACTCGAGTATATACGGTAATTTTTTTTTTAGGGCAGGGATAGGAAGCTATTCAAATTAAAGCATAATAAAAGGCTGCATGTATAGATCAGTAGCCCTGTATTGCAAACAGTCTACTGCAAAGGTCTTTTACTCTAGAACAGTGTTTCTGAAACTGTGCTCCTCTGGGCATTTTGGACTTTATCTCCTAACCATTCCTAACAGCTGGAAAAAAAACAGGCTGAGATTTCTGGGAGCTGAAGTCCAAAACACCTGGAGGAGCAGAGGTTGAGAAACACTGCTCTAGAGTAATAAGTAGTGGTCTGTGGACTGTGCCAGTATACATGGTAGTGGGAAGTTTCCAGGAAATAATAATAATAACAACAACAACAACAACAATAACAACAATAAACTTAATTTGTACCAAAGGGGACTCAGGACGGCTAGCATGAGCCCAATTTTACAGTACAGCAAAATAAAATACAAAGACACAAAAATAACATCAAAATAAAATTCATGAAATAGCAAAACAAAATAAACAGTTACTAAATAACATGATAGAGAAATAAAACACAGTGGGTGGGCCAAATGCACAGAGTAAAACCCTGGATGAGATAAGTAGTGGGAGAATGTGTTTCTGAGGGATGAGCTCAAAAGGAGCAAACAGTGGGGTTAGGAAAGAAAGAAAGCTTCAGGAATGCTGCTTTATAGAGTAAGTGCTTTTTCAGTGTTTCCTATTTGCGGAATGCCAGCTGTAGATATTTAGTGAGAAGAGATGGCAGTCTTGCTTTACTTTTCACAATGTTTTTATACCCTTAATGCCACAGACTACAGGAAAGAAAATTAATTTATTGCATTTCTTTCTCTACCAGTTGCGTCTTTTTACTCCCACATATACACTGACCCCATATAACGGAGCAGAAGCACAGGTAAGGTTTTTTTTTTTTTTGCATTTTTCTGCATATAAGCAGTTTTTTCTGCCATTTTCATACATCAGAAGTAATATTCCATTATTTTTGCAGCTTTCAGTATTAATTGAAAGATTTATGTTGGATTAAAGGTTCTGGTTTTAATTGACTATTACTCTTTAAAATCTTTAAAATCTTCTGCATCAATGAATATATATCTGAATCCATTTTTTAGCCTTTTCACATGCCATCACACATGATAAAATGTTCCTTTGTGGTGTTCAAATTTCCAACGTGCATTAGATTTTTTATACATTTTGGATAATTTCTCTGGTGTTTTGTATCGTATTTACATGAGTCTAATGCTCTCTTGTTTGACTTCTTCGTCTCTGTGAATCACACAAATGAGCTATCCTGCATCTATAGAGAACACTGTTTGGAAACTTCTGGAGCTCTAAATCTAGATTTTGGCAGTAAACCTGTCTGCTTTCCATGATTTTATAAATCCACAGTGCCTTTCCATCGTTCGCCACAGCAGCATTAATTGCAACTTTCTGCTTTTTAGCGTTACCTCGGCTAATTTTGTATTTGATTCAGGCAGATTTGTTTTTCTTTCTTGTCTATTCTTGTCTCTCTGGCGTATTTCAGACCTTGACCTCTGTGTATCTGGCACTCTGATCTCAGAAAGTTACAAAACTATAATTTTTCTGTCTGCCCCGACTTTGGTCCATCTGTCATCTACTCTTCAAAATGTCCTTGAGCACTTCCTTTAAAAAGTATACCACCCATTTGTGTGATTCACAGAGACCATGAAGAAAGAGGACAAGTTTCTTACTTGTGTTTCTTCGAGTGGTCATCTGTGAACTTACACAATTCCCCCATCCTCTCCACTTTGTGTTCTGCCATTCCTAGTGACATGGCTGCTGCTTTGGAGGCCATGGAACTGGGAATTTGATGGGAACCCTCTATATATCGAACGAATCTCCCCTTATGAACCTGCAAGGACTTTAAGATCATCTGGAGAGGCCCTGCTCTCGGTTCCGCCATCGTCACAAGTACGGTTGGCGGGAATGAGAGACAGGGCCTTCTCAGTGGTGGCTCCTTGGCTATGGAACGCACTTCCTAGGGAGATTAGATTGGCTTCCTCGCTCCTATCATTCCAGAAGAATCTTAAGACATGGCTATTTGAGCGGGCATTTGAAAATACAGAGTAATGGATATAATAATGGAATAACTATATGGCGGAACTGGACATTGTTTTTAATGATTATCGATTGAAGTATGTTTCATTATAATGTTTGATTTTATTGTTGCTGATGGTTTTATATTGTATATTGTAATTGTGTCCTTGGTGGCATTGAATTCTTGCCTTGTAAACCATCTTGAGTCACCGGAAGGCTGAGAGGGGCGGTATAGAAATGTACTAAATAAATAAATAAATAAATAAATAAATAAAGGCATAGAGAGGGATGGGGTTACTGCCAAAATGTAGAAGGTTCCAAACAGTGCTCTGTACAGGTGGAGCATTGCCCATTTGTGTAATTTTACGATGACCACTTGAAGGAACATAGTTACAGCTAAGCAGTCTCAGTGTGGGACCTCTGTAGTTTCAGCCCAGAGGGAAGATCTCAAATGTGCTGAGCATGTTTTGAATGAGAACTGTTTCTATTCTCAATCTAGATTTGGTTAACGAAGCAGAAGCCCGAGGCACTGAACCCACTGGTGAAATACCATAGCTGCACCACAGTTTTTGGAAAGAACTATGTCGCGCTCCGTAAGGTAAATACGTAACATTGAGAGAATTGCATAGATACTCCAGTTTCTTTCATTTGGTTACTATATGCTGCTCCATGTAGTTATGGACAAATTCTGTCATAAGGTAGTCAGTAAACAAAGCAATTATTTCTTTACAAAATAATGGGTTTTTTAAAACATAAATTTTGCTACTTCCTTTGTCATCCTGTATAATAAATTGGACTAAGAGAAAAGGATGCAGGGGAAGTGTATAGAATAGAATTGTGAAATGCAAATGAACATTTCTATTATTGTACTGTAAGCCTTGTATTGTATATACATTTTTCTGGAAGTTGTTTTTGTTTGTTGTGCAATGGTTTATATCAGTGTTGTTTCCCATACAGTAATCATTGATTTTTTTTTCCCATTTGTATTGTGTATGTGCTGTAAATCCCTTTGAGACTGCTTTTGTCAGTGGGAAGCAATGTCTAGATTTAATAAACCATCTAAAATTGTAGATTTAATTATAGATAGGATTTAGTTTTAAATATTGGAGAGATTTATCAGTATGAAAAAGCTTGGGAAAATAGCCATTTTAGACTATAAGATTACAAGAATGCTGGATAGGAAATTCTGTGTGTTCTGTGCCAAAAAGAACGGGGCTCTTGTAAATGGGAGAAGCCAAACCAATCTACATGTTTTTACTACTGTATGCTCTGTCTTTCAGATGGACGTCAGTGAAGATATGGCTGATAAGCTGTATGTGAAGTTGTTGCACTTAGAGAAACAAGTTTTAGGGAATCACAACCCCTGCAGCATAAAAAAAGTAGCCAGCAGACCTGAATCTGATGGCAAAATTGTGTAGCATAGGGTTTCTTCCACTGGAAGCAGTGTAGGCCCTAACACCTACCCCCTTGTTTACCTTGGCAAAGCAGGCCTCTCTGCTGCAGATGTGTTGCTGGATTATGATGGAGTGCTGAAGAAAACCAAAAAATGCCTTATTACTGAGTTTCTGCTTGCCGTAGTGCGGCACTCCCTTATTGTGGTTTTTATACATTAATTATTACTGTTTTTAATTGATTGTAATGTTTCTCCTTCATTCTAATGGGTCTCCTGAATTCTGTGAGTGCTTTAGAAGGGGACATTTACCTCAGATAATAAAGAATTTGGAGCCCAGATGTATTCTTGCTTCATTGCTTGGAATTAGGTGTATGCATGTGTGCCATGATGCTGGTAGGTCATGCAACTTTGGCTACATAACTTGAACTTCAGCAGATGCTGTTGGAGTTCAGATGCTGTTATTTGTTGCTTTATTGAGAGTTTTCAAACTTAATTGTAATTTCCTATAGGTTTAACTTCTTCAGCGCAATCCCACAGAACCATGTCATTTATAATTTAGGGAGGTGCTCAGAATTCTCCATCAGAGAGCTCTAGTTCTCAGTCTTTGTTCCTAAAGCTCAAGGGCCCCCAAACTAAGGCCCTCCAGGGTTTTTTACCCGGCCCCCATCCTAAATCTTAAACTTAAGTTCTCCCTAAGTATGAAACGACTTGAAGGTACACACAACAGTTCTAATTAACTTGAGAATCTCATTAGCCAAAGGCAGGCCCACACCTCCCATTGAAATACAGTTATGTTTATGTTGGTGACAATTGCTCATCATTTAAAATATTGTGTTGTTTTGGGTTTTTTTGCACTGCAAATAAGATATGTGCAGTTTGCATAGGAATTTGTTTGTGGTTTTTTCAAACTATAGTATACCCCTCCATCAGTCTGAGGGGCAGTGAACCAGCCCTCGGATTAAAAAGTTTGGGGACCCCTGCCATAGGTGTTTCAGACTTCTATTCTCCAGATACCCGACTAGTGGACATTCTGCTTTATGGCTCCTTTCATGAACTAACCGAACTCCCTATTTGAGTGCCCAGAGGACCACAGTTTGTTTATTTATTTACGACATTTATATCCCGCCCTTCTCACTCTGAAGGGGACTCAGAACGGCTTACAAGTTATATGTACATGCATTATATTATATTGTTAGCATAGCACAATATTAATATTAGGTAAAGGTAGGTAAAGGTTTTCCCCTGACATTAAGTCTAGTCATGTCCAACTCTGGGGGTTGGTGCTCATCTCCATTTCTAAGCCAAAGAGCCATAGACACCTCCAAGGTCATGTGGCCAGCATGACTGCATGGAACGTTGTTACCTTCCCACCGGAGCAGTACCTATTGATCTACTCATATTTGCATGTTTTCAAACTGGTAGGTTGGTAGAAGTTGGGGCTAACTGCAGGAGTTCACACCGCTCCCTGGATTTGAACCTGCGACCTTTCGGTCAACAAGTTCAGCAGCTCAGCGCTTTAACCCACTGTGCCACCAGGGGCTCCAATATTAGTATATATTGCTGTATTGTATTATACTGTAATATTATTAGTAATATTACATGTACTATAAGAATATATTGTATGATTAGTTTATATTGTATTACATAATAATGTTATCAATAATATTATAATTGATAATATAAAACAGTTACCACTTTGCACAGTTGGAAGAATCCTAAAAGTGTGCTGTTTTCCCCCATGCTAATGTCATGTTGCCACATGGGTCAAATGCAAGGCCTGTGGGCCTAATCCAGCCCACCATGTCAATGTGAGGTGAAGATGAATGCATGTAATAGATGACTGAGTTGAAAGCTGAGAAAAGGTACGCATATGGATGTGCATTTGCCATTTCTTCTTCTAGTGGCTGGACCGAGTAAAGTGCACCTTTCCACGACCTCAGTCCAACATAGAATCACAGTTGGAAGAATCACAATTTCATCGGATGACCCCAGGGGCCATAAAAGAAAACACAAGTAAAACCCTACTTGCAGATTAGTCTTAGAACCCTAGAACGTGAAATAGCTGCAAAAAACAAAAATAGTTTAAGACACTTTTTCTTCTGGGATTACATTTGGAATGTGAGCAGTAAACATTTCTCAAGTATGTGAAAATATGTCGGTCCAGCTCATTACCACCCACTGCCCATGTAAGAGTATCTCAAAGGATGTACACATTCCTCTCAGTTGTTAAAGATACAGATTTTTAGGAGCGTGAAAAAACCCATATTAACTACTGTATTTCATCGAATTTAAGGCATACTTTTTCCCATTTAAGAGGCTTCCCTGTGTCATCTCTTCATGGCTTTAATTTAGGCGATCCCTTGTTGTCCGAGTAGGATTGTCTTCCAAGATCGGTGTACTTGGCGGTGGGTCCGTAGGTGACTGGTGCCCTATTCTTGACCTGCATCTTCTCCGGCAGTGAGGGCATTGGTTTTCAGGTGGAAGGCGGTCCTGATCAGGGTTGGCTTGACATGCCTTCCTCTTGGCACGTTTCACTCTTTCGCCCTCCATTCACGCCTCTTCAAATTCTACAGCACTACTGGTCACAGCTGACCTCCAGCTGGAGCGCTCAAGGGCCAGGACTTCCCAGTTCTCAGTGTCTATGCCAGAGTTTTTAAGGTTGGCTTTGAGCCCATCTTTAAGTCTTTTTTCCTGCCCACCAACATTCCGTTTTCCGTTCTTGAGTTCGGAATAGAGCAACTGCTTTGGGAGACGGTGGTCGGGCATCCGGACAACGTGGCCGGTCCAGCAGAGTTGATGGCGGAGGACCATCGCTTCAATGCTGGTGGCCTTTGCTTCTTCCAGCACACTGACATTTGTCTGCTTGTCTTCCCAAGAGATTTGCAGGATTTTCCAGAGGCAGCGCTGATGGAATCGTTCCTGGAGTTGCATGTGATGTCTATACACAGTCTACGTCTCGCAGGCGTATAGCAGGGTTGGGAGGACAATAGCTTTATAAACAAGCACCTTGGTATCCCTACGGATGTTCTGGTCCTCAAACACTCTCTACTTCATTCGGAAAAATGCTGCACTCACAGAGCTCAGGCGGTGTTGTATTTCAGTGTCAATGTTGACTTGTGGCGAGGTGGCTGCCAAGTTAGCGGAAATGATCAACATTTTCTAATGTTACACCATTAAGCTGTATTTCTGGCATTGGAGAGGGGTTGTCTGGTGACTGCTGGAAGAGCACTTTGGTTTTCCCGATGTTCAATGACAGGCCGAGCTTCTCGTATGCTTCTGCGAAAGTGTCTAGAGTGGTGTCTAGAAGGTGTCTTCATGACATCACCCCTTTAAAAGGAGAAGCTCAACCAATCTTCACTTTTTTGCAGCCTCCAGAATTCCTGCTGCAGTTACATTTTGGATTACTGAATTGAAATTGGAGACACGTGTTCACAGCTCCTCAATCCAGGGCCTCATCCTGGCTCTTGCAACTCCTCATTCCCTTTCTCGGCCTCCCGCTGCTATAAGGCCTGTCCCTTTCTTCTTTTTTTCTGGCTGGTTCGTGCTGCAGAGAAAAAGGACGGCACATTTCTTGTAATCTCTCTCCTATCTCCTCCTGTCTTTTTGAAAGTTGACTGGCGCCCGTGGAGAAACTTGAAAGATATTTGGCAAGATTTGTAAACCATTCTCTCTCTTGATCTCAAGAGAGAGAGAGAGTGGTTTACTAATCGTGCCAAATATCCCTCTCCAAGAGTCCTGTAAAGCTTTATCTAACCACCCAAAGGCTTTATCTAACCTGACACAAAGAATTAATTAGGCTCAATTTTGAAATTGGAATCTTTGGAAGCAGGGAACAGAAATGCCTATTCTCTCATGCTTAAATTATAAAGTTCTTAAATCCTTGGACTTGAGTTAAAACGAAACATAAACAGCCAACTCCTTTCTTTTCCGAAGTGTCCAAACAAAGGACCCATCACATATTAACTTATTTACAATATGACAAAGTGACATAATGCAACTATTTTGATCAAAATAAACAAGGAACTCAGCAGGCACAGCATATTATTTCCCCCAAAAGTAATCTTTTGAGAGTTTTAGTGAAATCTTTGGTTCACAGAGAAGATAATATATTATTTACCATTCAACTAAAGCATTTCTCTACAGGTCCAAATGTAGTCCTCCATCCAAGTACCAACTGGGCTTGATCTTGCTTAGTTTCCCTTCCTAAGTAGGGATTTGAATCTCCCAAAGTTGTAATCTAGTTCCCGAAGCCAACATTGACTCATTCACCTTATTTTGGCATTGCATCAATATGATACAGATAGAAAGAGAATGTTTAAATGCATTTTGCTTAACACCGAAGAGTGAAAAATGTTAGTTCTTTAAAATGTCCACTTGAAGGCACCACTTACTCATGGAAGTTCGGAATTCTGCTTGAGTCAACTCTAAAGGAAAACACTCCCAAAATAAATGTATATTGCCACAAATATGGAGTCATAGATCCCACAATAAGTAAAATGTTTTTCTCCTAAGCTAGGCCCCCATGTTTCCCATGTATTATTTTACATTTAAGGACTTCAGATGGTTACTTGCTTTTCTGTCTTTTTTAAAAATCTTACTGTGTAGTGTTCAGTTTAATCTAAGCATTTCACAGAAGGATGTGGGAGAGGGGGGAAGAACACTATATCCAAATGATAAGCAAATGAATGTCTATAAATCATTACTTTTATTTTGATTCAGGAGTTAAGATAAGTGTTTAAAGAATCTTTGCCTCCCATTGATAGTTTAAAGCTCATTAAGCTATAGGAACATTGGGTTGCTGTGGGTTTTCCAGGCTGTATGGCCATGTTCCAGAAGCATTCTCTCCTGACATTTCGCCCACATCTGTGGCAGGCATCCTCAGAGGTTGTGAGGTCTCTTGGAAACTAGACAAGTGAGGTTTATATGTCTGTGGCATGTCTAGGATGGGAGAAAGAACTCATGTCTCTTGGAGGCAAGTGTGAATGTTGCAATTGGCCACCTTGATTAGCACTGAATAGTCACTAGCACTGCATTGTTCAGACTCACACTACTAGAACAAGCCTCAGTGATATCTATGGGCTGCACTAAGCTCAGCAGTCATCTATCCACTTATGCGAATTTCACACTTGTGACTTTGATGACTTACAAGCTTGTGCGCCAGTTCCTGCCTCCAAGGGTTGGGACTGTCAAGCACAGTATCCTGCCACCATGGAGAGGGGAAAGGGCCAGGGCCACTTCAGCCGGCCAGTTCCCCTTGGCTCCCACCTCAATTTTCCTGCCCAGTGGTGGAGAAAGTAGATGGAGTCCTTCCAGGATGGATAAACTCTTGCCTTTTG